GATGGAGTCTTGCCCTTCAGCATTGGCACAAGCAAGGCCATTGTAATGGAGAGAACCATTGTCACCAAGCAGTGCACGAGTTCATAGACTGTTTTGTAGCCATAAGTCACACTTTCAGGGACTGTGTCTGAAAGCATGTGCAAGAACTTGCCAAGCTCAATGGTGTCATCTGTGGATTGCAAGTACTGATGTATAAGCAGTTCTTGCAAAAAACAAGTGGAAGACAGGCCTCCAGATTCAGTGCTTTTCACGTGGCTCGCAAATCGGTCCACGCAAACCAGTGCAAGCTTTGCTAGTACAATCATCGGCAAGCGCTGACATGCTATCACAAAGTCAGTGTTGGTCAAGCAAAAGTCATACAATGCGTAGCTCAGCAAGAGAGTGTTCAGAACAACCCGATGAAAGTCAAGCCAACAAATGGACGTCACAACGTACCAAAACTTCATGCCTCTTCGCTTGAAGAGCTGTCTGCCAAAGGCGAAGACCAATCGTATGCGTGCCAATCGACTTTTCCCTCGGCCCTCAGGGTGAACCAATTTCCTTAAAAACTTCTCTGAACCATCTTCAGCGCGGTCCCACTATTGTGTGGTGGGCATACTCAGCTATCATCTTACTTCATAATCGTGTCTGCTCTACTGTAGCTGGCCTGAAGAATACCACACACACAAACAAATACGCGAAGGCTCAAACAAGTGGACTGAGTGAGTCATAATCAGAACCTGGCATTAAAATGGTCTGTCCAAATGTAAAGAACTGAAAAGGCGGCCAGCCATCATCCCCTACTAACCTTCATCTACCCGACTCGGGTTGATTGTGACTCAAGTGGTGTTTGTTTTGGGATGCCCTCAGATCCCCTGCTAACAGTTGGCCTTTTAGTGGGCTAAATGGAAACCCGACCACTCAACCAGCCAAAAAAAGATCTAAAAAGCTACGGGGAAAGCAGGGAGCCACCAAGTGGGTATGGGTCAAAGTTGAACCACCGGGGCCCGCAGGTAGTCCATGTGTCCATCAATTTTGGGTACCTATTTTTGACCCACAGCCAAGTCCTGACCAGCTTTGCCCCGACTTTTTTTCGTCCGCTTCGGCTCCTGTGCCCGCGCATCGAGATCTTCCTGGCGGGCGCCGGGGGGCCAGAGGCCCTCCGGAAGCAGCCGGATGCGAGTGAAGGAGGAGCTCCCCATGGTCGCGTTGCCGTGAACTGCTTCCTAGGCTGGAACTCGAACCCCGGCGAAAAAAAAAACAACTCTTTGCCTGGGTGGAAAACAAAGGGACCCCCCAAAAAGCAAAACAACACCACAAGGGGAGCTAATTCTGGGGAAGCTTCCACATGAGCAACAAAAAATCGGTGCGAACCGAGAGGGCAGTCCAAGAGTTCAATGGAGAAAGTTGCACTGGAAGAGTTTGGAGCAAATGCAACTCTCTGCTTCGAAGCCTTGTAGCTGCTGCCCGCATATGCTGTTCCATCAATCGTGGCCAGGTCTGCCCTCACTTCCGTGGAAAGATTGCCCACGCGTAAGAGAACAACTTCGGCCACTTTGGTACCTGGTTCTATTGCCAGCGTGTGATCTGCAAAGAAAATCACCGATCCCTCTGATCTTGGCACGAAGCCTCTGGGACCAGCTGAAGACTCTTCCAGTTCCCAAATCGCCATAGGCCCCGCTTCAGATTTGTTGTTGGGGGAATTTGGAAATTCACGGGATACAGCTCGGCAGGACCAAAAATGACTGGTTGGGTTTCGAATCATGGTAAACTCGTCCATCTTGTGATACAAAATCGACGCCACCGCTTCACGCTTCTCTGGCTGCGCAAAGTGCCTCCTGCGGCAAAGGAGGAAGTTGAAGAGTTCTGCCAAAATCGTCGGCCGGTCATTGGAGAACACCGTGCAGAAGGCTTCCCAGAAGAGGACGATGCCAACCTCGGCTCCCACGAGCTTGGGTGCATACTTTGCATACTTTGCACCTCTCAAATGCCAAGCGCGCACAAAACGCGAAACTCACTGCAACAAGGAATTTCCGTCGTAAGCCAATATCAGTTGTGCTCAATGAACACCTTCAACCATCCTGAGCTTCCCCGAGCTTCAAGAAGACAAACAGAACCGCAGAACCTATGGCCTCTTCAGGCGTCTCAGCTCTTTCGCACTCCAATTGAACAGTCTCCGACAGCTAAGTTAGTGCACCAAACAGTTGCTTGAATGCCTAGTGGCCCCGGCCAATACGGCAACACCCTTCGAAGCCATACGTGGCTGTTTTTTCTCCGGCGGGAATATTGCCCAGCAAATAGGTGCGGCGGCCCAGAGCAAAGTGACCTGACAAACAATACAACACGCGCCGCACGAGTTGGCAGATCCAAGCTATGCTGTGATTCAGCCCGCACCGGCTGAATCAGCACAGGCGCAAACAAAAGAGAAAGAGAAGGGTTCAAAGTTCAAACCCGGGAAAAACAAAACTGCTCTTTCAAGAAAGTCCACCAGAGCCAGGAGCCAAAGTCGTCGTCGCGCCATTGATACCACGTGACCCTTCCGAGAGAAACGGAGACTTTCAGTCAGCAACATGGCTTCCGTGCGCCGCGCTTTCGTGCTGAAAGGCTCACAGCTGTAGCTTCAAACATGTCGGGCCAGGCTGCTGGTTTCTTCGATCTTTCGAAATTCGGAACTTGATACATAATTTATGACATGCATTAAAGGATAAGTTAAATGTGGGGTGTCTTTCCCAAAAGCACCATGTAATCCATCTTGGACACAATTTCATGACATCAAGATTTCGTTGCCTCAAGAAACTGTTGATCGACTTAGCTACGGTTGTAACTTTTAGACAGGTGTCCCAGGTATTGCAAAGCAACTGTGGTGTTCTCCATGGTGCTCGCTCAAATGGCAAAAAACATGGAACAGTACGAGAAGCCAGGATTTCGTTCCTGTCTTCACGGCTTCATGAGGGACAACGCGACTTTTTAAACACACTACGAAAGCAAAAACCGCGGGAGACAATTGTGCGAAAAAAATAATCGCTCTTCCAAAACCAACTACATCCATGTCAAACTCTCGCATGCTTTCAGAAACAGCTCTCCGCATGACTGATAGTGACTGACACAGTGACTGGTATCCACCATCGCACGCACGGCTTCAATCGCTTGCACACGCAGCCCGAATCATAGCACGCACCGGGACTCCTCGAAGCACCGGTGGGCTTTGGTGCAGCCGATGGCTGCAGAAGTTGCGACAAGGAGTCAGACGACCAGGACATGAAGCTTAGAGATCTGAATCCTAATCTTGCTTCCAATTTGCTTCCAATTTGCTTCCAATTTGCTTCCAATTTGCTTCCAAATGTGAAATCTAGCTTTCAGCCCCATGTTCACAATCGCAGCGAGGGAAATCCTCACGTCCATCGCAATGGCACTCTATCGCGGTGGCACAAATGCTGCAATGGCCAAGGCTTCAATGTGCGCATTCTCTTCTTTGGATACTATCCAATGCTCCTGCAGGAACTAACACACTCTAAGACTGTACATCCAAGGCGAAAACCTCCCAGTCTGTGACAACCGCCTGCTGGGCTTCTGCCAGAAAGGTGAAGTTGCCGCCCGTGCCTGCTGTCTGATAGGTGTTGCCCATGCTAAATGCGACCTTGGCTGCCGCGCCTTCAGCAAAGATCCGCATGTCGTGGCCTCCGCCAAAGGTTGCCGCGTAGTTTGAGTGACAGTAGATGCCGCTCTGGTGGCTCTGAAAGATGACATGCTTGGAAGGTCCAACACCTGGTCCTGAAAGGCGAAACAAGAAGGACTCCTGGCACTGCTTGAATGCACCACTCGCGTCCCAGGCAGTCTCCGTGAAACCTCCAAATATGTAGCCACCCTGGCTGCGAGCGACGATCATGGTAGGCCCATGCCTGTCACACTTCTGGTGGAAGTTGTGCGCCGCGAAGCCATCCCGAGAAGCGCGATAAAGAAGCTGGACATCAAACTGTGGAACCCAGGCCAATAGGGCAACCTGGTCAGATGGCAAGAGTATCTTCGAATCGAAAGGTGCAATTTGCATCGGAATGCCAAGGCCCAGATATTCGGTCAGCCGCTTCCAAGCCCCATGCTTCTCGGTTGGGACGCGGGGGCGAAACGTCTGACCCAGAAGGCTGCCTAGCCGTAGGTGACGAAGGATTTGAGAGAACAAATCAGGATCTTCGTCGAAGAACACCTTACCCTCCACCATTTCGTCCTTTTGCACAGTCCAGTCCTGCTTGAATTTTGCTGCCAAAGCTGACTCACTCTGCCATAGCAAAGTGGAACGGAAGGTGGTCATAGAGATGCCACTGATATTCAAGTCGATGATGTCCGGCTGACCCTGCAAATCACTACGCCCAAGCAGCTGATCAATGATCCTTTTCTCATCATCCAGCGATTGGTTACGCAAGTGCAAGCTCCGGCTTTCTTGTGAACAGGCCCGCGCTTGCTCGATGGTGTTGTCCACCACTTTGGCCACGCTCCGAGCCAAACTCATGCCTTCGGCCCGTTTGCTCTGCCACTTGGCCATGTGGGTCTCAGCAGCCACAAGACACTTCTGCAAAACAAGCAACTGCATGCCCTCAACATCCTCACACTGAATCTCAAACACCTCCCAGTCTGTGACAACCGCCTGCTGGGCTTCTGCCAGAAAGGTGAAGTTGCCGCCCGTGCCTGCTGTGTGATAGCTGCTGCCAATGCCAAATGTGACCTTGGCTGCCGCGCCTTCAGGAAAGATCCGCATGTCGTGGCCGCTGCCAAAGGTTGCCGCATGGTTTGAGTGACAGTGGATGCCGTTCTGGTAGTTCTGAAACATGACATGCTTGGAAGGTCCAACACCTAGGCAGTGTGTGTGTGTGTGTTTTGTTGTGTGGGGCCTTGGCATTTTCACTTGCCTGCCACGACTACGCCATGCTTGCATGAAATTCGACCACTCCCAGAATCATGCCAACGCGAGACCAAGCTAACTAGACACCTGCCTACCCCCCTGTTTACGCGACAAAGTGAGACGGCTCTGGAATGTCGCCACGAAGCTTACGGGCTTCTTCCCTTAAAAAGACCGCCGCCCACCTGGTCCATGGAGGCGAAACAAGAAGGACTCCTGGCACTGCTTGTAGGCACCACTCGAGTCCCAGGCAGTCTCCGTGAAACCTCCAAAAATGTAGCCACCCTGGCTGCGAGCCACGATCACGGTAGGCCCATGCCCGTCACACTTCTGGTGGAAGTTGTGCGCCGCGAAGCCATCCTGAGAAGCGCGATAAAGTAGTCGCAGGTGCAGTGTCGCTGATGCTGCTTCATCGATCAGCGATGTGAGCATCTTAGCATTGACTGCAGTCAGGATTGTGCTTCCAAAAGTGGCATCCGCAGCCCCACTTTCTGCCTCAGTCGTGTATCCTTGCAGATTGACCTGGCGAGAGCACAGGAAGTCGCACAGCGCTGCAAACCCAGGGCGACACTCCTCTGGCAAGGCATCCGCGCACGGAGCAATGCTAGAGTTTGGGGGCGCCCGCTTGACGTCAACGAGCCAGCTCAGCAACGCCCGGAACTGGACGGGGTCCAAGTCGAGGAAAATGCGACCCTCGCTGTCCCTTGCTAGGAATTGATCCCAAGCCTCACCAAACATCTCCGCCAAGCGCGAGCCCTTGATAGCTGTGAGCGTGTCACGCCTGGTGACGAAGCTGGTGTTGCCGCCCACATTGAGCTTCACAAGCTCGGAAGGCTTCACCTGCGGTGCTCCGACATACTTGTATGTATTGGGAACGATGGGTGTGTGGGTGTGTGTGTCTTTTGAGGGTATGCTTTCTCAGGTTGCTTCAATTTGTTTGGGGCACCCCAAATTTGACACATACCTGGATGAGTCAAAGATTTATTATAGTGATACTGGCTCATGAGCGAATGCATGCTTGCCTGCGAGGATTTGAAGAGGGCTGGGAGTCGGTTGTCGACAGTCAGATTGACCATATCGTCTACAGATCCCTCTATGCCACAGCTACCTTTGACCCTACAAAAGGTGCCTCGGCCATCTACACAATCTGCAAGATGGCCATACCTCTTGGCATCTCCTGGGATATGGCTCTTCTTGGGTACTCACGCGATTGCACGCCTCCGTCTCTTCGGAATCGTTGGGCTTGTTGAAAAGGTGATGTAACCTTGGTGGTAAGGGGACAAGTGCCTCCCTTCGCTCACTCTTCAAGCAAAGAGAACCATCATTTTAGCGCTACCTTTGGAAGGGACACCTTCCCGAACTTCTTGGGGCAAAAAGGGGGCACTGGTTGCAACTGGGCGACCGCTCATCAATCTCCGCACGCTGGTGCTTGAGACTTTCCTCCTGCACAGCATCATTTCGCCACACTATTTTGGTGGGAATCACGGGAAACCATCGGCATACCTCGAAACGGAATCAACTGCACGTTTCGCTTGCTGGTTAGATAGGCAGGGAAGGAGGAAATGGCCGAAATATAAAAAAAAACCAACCTATGGTTTCCTTTACGGGAATTTGCAACTTCACTCCCAACACCCGAAAGGCCATTCCCCACTGAAGTTAGGGAGCTCCACATAGGTGTCCTAGGGGACATAGATGGGTTTCCCTGGCAGATGAGTAAAACCATCAAGGTAAACCAGGAATCGCCCTCTATTTTCCCACCAAAACAAACCAAAAAGCACACCTGTGGAGCGCCATACTTGTCCAAGAAATTTGGCCGGGCTCCTGATCCTTGACGGTGGCTTGCAGCTCCTGCACCGCTGCCTCCCACTTGGCCATCACCAGTCTAGAAGAGATGAGCCGAGACGTCTCAGGGACTTGCCTGAATTTCGTTGTTACAAATGAGGGAACCGCCGCGGGGCTGTTTCCCTCTGGGAAACCCTTCAAGCAACCGCAAGAAAGGGTGTCCTCAAACAAAACAAACACCGATCTCCACATTGGACATGCAGCGCTTTTCATCCCCCGGTTGGAAGGACTTTGGGCACTGCAACTGCAGGTGCTATTTCAGCATTACCTGGCAATTCATGTACACTTCCCTGCCGTCCATGAAATGATGGACTCTTGGATTCTAACAACTCCAGCACCTCTCTTTCAACACTCTATCAAAATTTGAGCTGTGTTTTGCACTTCGAGCACGAGTTGCTTTCGGAGATTCGGTTTGATATTCACTCCAGAGTTTGTGCCACAGCTCACACAAACTGCAACATCGCAACTCTGAGAACCAGCCAAAGTTGGGTTCAGGTGATGCTTAAATTATTCATGCATCCATCCTGAACATACAATGTCAATCAATGTCAAACATCATGCAATGCCAATAAACATCAGCGTCTAGTGTCTTAAACATATCCGTACAATAGATGGGGGTTCTTGAATCTGAATTTACCAATACGCGTTTCAACACCCCTACTCATTCAACAACACAAAATGATCAACATTGTGCCATGCTAATATATATCTATATATATATATTATGATAACATGTCTCTGTGTGTGTCTTGAGTAATACATCGGTGGAGATGTACTACAGTTCAACTATACCAGCATGTTGGAACTTATCTTCCATCAACCATTCATGGTTCATATACATATTCGATATCTTTTTGCACGCTTGGCATTCAAACTGTGTGCCAGCTCAGAAATAATCCACGACCACATCTCCTCGCCACAAACAATAAGCCAAGCAAAGCGCAGCCATCACCCAAGCAGCAAGCTGTGTGACTGCTTCTTCGGATTGCAAAGCAACCAGCCTCCTGATTCACCTCTTGAAGGTCCGCCTGAAGGTCCAACCAAATGGTCGAAGTTCGAATCTGTGGCCACGGCACCTGCCAGGGCAAGTCGACGTCTCTTGGGCTTCTTCGGGAGCGGGCCAAACCTCGTGGCAAACAGGAGGCCTTCCAATGACACATGGCGCTTTTTTCCAACGAGACCTTGTTCCATTCAGTCTTGGAAGTGCAGGGGGGCTGTTCCTAAAAGTGCACAAGGGGTTCGGACAAGTGAAGTGCGTGTCATGAAAGTGCACAACGGGGGGGTTCGGACGATTCTCAGCTTCAGACATGGGAAAAACAAACGGTGGGTTTAAGTCGCCCTCGGCTGCCGGCGGTCTGGCCACTTCACCGGAGGCACCGGAGGAGCCGACGTCGGAGGAGTCGTCTTCTTCTGGCCTCGTCCGGGGTGCCTGAAATCAGCCTGCCCTCATATCTGATGCTTCGGATTAGCTTGCAAGTGACCAAGCGACGGGTTTAAGGAATCAAACCACGAATCCAAACCACCAGTTAAGGGTTGCCTATTCAAATGGCCTCTGGACTTTTTAATAAACAACATTAAACACGGCAATAATTGAACCACAACACGGAAACATCTTTGGCGAGGCTGAGGCCACTGCTCTGGACGGGGCCGACCTAGGTGGGTGCAAGTTTCATTCCGCGTTTGCCCCGTGTTGTCATATTTCCTCAGGGCAACTGCTCTCCCCCCGTAGCGGCCGTCGGTTCTGGGGGTGGTGGCGTCATCCGCTTCTTTCAAGATCGGTGCAGCCAGAACTTGCTGATGCTCAGCAGGGAATGAGGGAATGACCCCTATAAACCTGGTTTCCGTTACGGAAGGGGGTTCATTTTATTTCTCATTCCCTACCTATCGCACCAGCAAGAAAAGTATCAAGCCACCCAAAACTGAGCGCTGAACTGGCTATGTCTAAGAGCCAGGCCTTTGGTACCTTCTGGTTGAAGGTTGTCCATGTCTCTGTAGCCTTGGGGCGAACGGAAGCTATCAAGCATATTGCGGCTGCGCACGAAAAAGGCAGCTTCCCAGAATGTGGGCACTCCGATTGCGGTATCATATGGCTGTGGTTGTCAACACTAGAGTGACCCCAACATGGAACCCTGATAAATGGAAACAAGGACTAAAACCTGCGGTCCATATTCTGGTGGTGACCAATTTTGACCCATACAAATCAAAATAGGGACCCCCCCTCCCAACAACCCCAAAAACTAAATTTGCTTTAGTTCTCCCTAAAACAACCTGAAATACCCTCCAAAAGCCAGCCACATACCAACCATATTGCGGTCAAGGCAAAAACCCGACTTCAGAGCTGTGCCTGGCGCGCTGCGCTGCCGGAAGGCATCACTGCCACGAAGCACCGTCTCCTCCTGGCTGAAGCCAAGCGCTGAGGCCGGAGCTGGTCGCAGTTTGTTGAGCCTCCCACCCTTTTCACATGGAACCTGACAGAGACCCGGTCCCTTTAAGTTGTAACTCGTCTTCCAGGACCCTTCTGTGGTTTACCCTCCCACCAATTAATACATACCGTTCGACGTTCGGGGCCCGGTGCCTTGAAAAGGAAAATTGTTCAAACCAGGAGCCCGAAACGTCAGGTTGCATGTCAATTGGTGGGAGGGTAAAGGATCAAACTCTGGCCACCTGTTAAAAAGGCAAAAGGAGGTCGTCCAAACAATACCCAGTTGCTTCAACAGGTTTGAAGGGGAGGCACCCCGCATGTTCTCGGCCAATTGGCCGGAGTCACGCGATTCTTTCACACGCGGGTCGAGAGCAAGAATGCTAAGCCAGGAATCATGCTTCCTATAACTTGAAGCCAAAGTCTACTAGAAGGGTCTAAATTATGAACACGCGGTTATTGGATACCAAAAAAGCAATCATAGAATACCCATCTTTCCAACAACCAGGGGACCCGTTTTGCTCATGAGTCTTCCAACACGCTCCTGTCCACATGACATGTTGGCACATTGACTCTCTGAGCATATCGACTCGCAGCATGGCTCCTGTGATCCGCGCAGGATCTGCTGTCGCAGCATCTCTGCGCGGGACTTGGCGCCAAGGCGCTTGTCAACGATGTGCCTTGCCATGGGATGCATATGGCTTTCAACTGAATCCAGCACGGAAAGACATGCAAAAGCCACATCGACTCTGTCCACTTGCTACACGACGTCGCATGACATGAGAAAAGGCAACACTTCGAGACTTCAAGTGGATCTTGCGGTGGAAGGCGAAGCAAACTATGACATACGCTGGGTGAGCGTGCATGCGGGCTTTTTGCTCAAGCTTGAAGTCCTAGGCAGGATTTGCCACTTGGACGCTCTTCAAAAGGGTGACGCATGGGCCTCAAATGGTCCCAATCTGGAAAAGCTTGACTGGCGTTCGCTTGAAGCATTGAAAGTGCTGCATCACAATGACCCTCTGGACTTGAGACGCCCACTTTGCGCATGCGCCCATCGCTACCGAACCCTGGGCTCTGCCCATGGCCCGCTCAAATTCCCAAACGGTCCAGCCTGGACTCGGGCGGCTGGTAGCTTGGGAAGGAGTCAGCATCAAACCACAGGGATCGAAGCCGAACGATGAGGTCTTCCGCAACGTCAGTGAGGGTCAGGTGCTGTCATGTGCTTAGCCCAAACAACTAAGGGGCATGAGACACCACACAGGCTACGCCCATACTTCGCTACATCTTGCATGCATGCGTCAATAAATATGTAGCAAGAACTTTGCTTTTCCTGGCTATGTTTTGAGGTCTTCGATGGCAATGGACAATGACTGGAAACAGCTTAGTCAAACACGATTCAGCATCGATGGGTATGCGGAGGGCCGCCTTTGCGCCAAGGTTTTGCCAAACCTAGTGGGTGCCTTGTAGGCAGTCGCCGAAAGTGGTTGCCGGAAACACAGTCCTCAATTGGGGAAGGATGATGGTTTGCAGGAAGGGCCCCAGTTTCTGGCTTGGACAATCCACCGTGCTTAATGTGAACTGGGCTTTTAAACGTTAGATCTTCGAAAGTGCCCCTTCCTTTTGGTGGGCTTCATGTTTGCAAGGGGCATGTGGATATATGGAGAGACAATCTTCACTGTTTGGTGCTTCAAAGTGTCCCTTACGGATCGTGAGTTCAGTTGACCAAAAATCGCTGAATCAGCCCGAACGAAAAATCGTTAATCATCCGACTAATAGCTTGAGGCTCTCAGGTGTTCTTTCACTTGCTGCTCAGTGAATGAGAAATGGAATGAACCTTTAAATCATCATATACTTGTGTGTCAAAAACAGGGTAACCCCAAAATGGCTTGCCCTGGTAAATGGACATATCAACTTGAAATTCCTGCGGTCCATATCCTGGTGGTGACCAATTTGGACCTGTACCCTCTCTCCCATTGACATGGCACATGAAAGGGGGTCCCTCCAAGAGGAGTTTGATCTTGCAGGTACCCTCCCACAGGTGCCATGTTAGTTGGAGGGAGGGTACCGCAGCTAAAATTCAATCATAAACCCACAATGGCTTGCCTTGGTAAATGGAGATATGGACTAAAATTCCTGCGGTCCATGGTGGTGACCAATTTCGACCTGTACCCGTCTCCACCTTTCCAGCGAGAACACAAACTGCGAAGAGCCCCGCCTGCGGCCCGGCCTCCAAAGCGCCCAAGCGCCACTCCGTCTGCTTCGAAAGGACCTGAACCGCCGACGCCCAGGCGCCAAAGGGCGCCGGGGGACTTCCTTCAGATTGGCTTCCCTTTTCCTGTGCCCTTGCTTTTGCCTTTCCAAACCCTACGTCGGAAATGTGTGTTTGGCGATCATTCGCCAACGTTGGACAACTATAATGTAAGCAAGTGAACGTCAGCTGAAGATGCATTGCGCGAGTGCACAGCCGCCTGCACGTCACCGACCAGCATTCGCAGCGCTCTGCCAAACTCATCGAACTGCATTTCCATGTCTGCTTGCCGTCTCCTTGGCGCACTCGTAATCACGGTGTGACATTCAATTTGCAACCCTTTTATGGGCATCAGCTGTTTGTTTGTTGCGCTGCCATCTTTTGAGGGAGTCCCTACTCACATCCTAAGCCAAGGCCAAACCACAAAAATGAAGATCCGCCCGCCGCGACTGGGCCGCCAGCTCTATGTCGGGCTGCATCTGCATGTCAAGCTGCGCCTGCATGACGGCAGGAAGAGGTTTCAAGCATGATGAATCAATGTGCCAATACATGATTTGTGACGGAACCGCATGATCGTGAACTACGTGGACAAAGTTCTAGGTTACGGACTAGGGAAAGAAACTTTATTGTAGGGACATCACTGTAAAGGGCCAACTTGTTTTGCAAGGAAGTGATTGCATAGCGCCAATGCGCAGCGTCCAACCTCCTTTAGCTTCTTTGTGTCTACCAAGATGGTCAGGTTATGACCCTCTCTGTACTCTTCTCCCCGTTGACCCCCTGACACAAAAATGCTCAGGAAAAACCGTGATGCCCAAACAAAAACAGGTTTCGCGTTGCCCGGCCTGAGGCTTCTCGCTTTCAGCCGGCCACCTATGGAAACTCGAGATGCACCCCAGAAACCCCGTGAGATTCTCCCGTAGATCCACATAAAATTATCCAAAAACAAGGGGTATCAACAAAAACACAAACACCCACCATGTTTCCATGGGAGATATGTCCAGACCATGTTGGAAGTGTTCCCATGAAAACCCCATGTTGGAAGCATTCCAGCGGGCGCGACTGTCCCATGTCCCAAATCCCAAGCAACTGTCCAAGTCAGAGATTGTTCGCGGGGTGCCAGTTTGGACGTGCCGGACGTTTTTGTCTTTCGGTTGAACTCCCTCCTTTGGGTGTCTTATGTAAGGGGGGGTAAGGGGAGCCCTGGCAGTGACATTTCCATGGCCATCCGGAGAAGCAACGGACACTCCATGGGTCAAAAGCCATTCCCAGTGACCCCAGACGGGACCGATTCAATCCAACCACTAAGATAGGAAGCCTAAAATGGGTGGTGAAGTCACCAACCCACCAAAACGGGATCAGCCAAAACGGTTTTGACCACCACAGCCAGTTGTTGTGGGGGATCCTAGGTGCTGGGCCCGGCGCGTCCGCACGGAGCCCACCTTGCGCTCGATCTCCCGCAGGTTCGCCTGGTCCCGGAGGAAGTGAAGGGCTTCCCCAAGCCCGTGGAAACACGGGGCCCCCGCTGGCTGTTGCCCGGCTGTTGTGGGAGAAAAGAGTTTTTGCGAGAGAAATGGGTTGTGTCCTCCTCGAACTAACAGAGTACACGACCAATCAGATCGTCAGTCGCTCACATTATCCACGGGGCATGGGACAAATCTTGGTGCTGCGCACTGAGAGCTCTGGCAGCTCACATGCCCTCCTCCAAACCAGCAAATTTGCTGTTCTTGGAGGGCAACAACTTAAGCAGAAATCGGCTCTTGCAGGCCCCTTCCTACGGATGCCAAGCAAACCGCCAACAAAAGGCGGGCATGGAGTCTCACACAATGCTGTAAAGCGGGGGCAACATCGCCAACACAAATCCCGTTGGAAGCCGAAGGAGACCAAAGGAGATCCATTTGGCTGTGGGTCAAAACCAATGGGATCCTATTTTGGGGTAGGCGAATTCACCACCCATCTTTGTCCATTTTAGTGGGGATTGGGTCCGACCCAAGGAGATCCATGTCTCATTGGAACTCCAGCCAATTTGAGCGAACTCGAGCCTCCTGCACCGAGAGCTGCTTGCTGAAGTCCTCCAGCTGCCTTGGTCAAGTTGGTCAGAGAAGGCAGCTGACCAACTCGAGGATTCTTTGCTTTGCTTTGCGCTCGAGAGGACAAATCCACTTGAACAGAGAACCAAAAAACCAATGAACCAAAACACGTCGAGCCATTTTCTTGGGCAGAAGCGGAGGAGCCAACAAACCCAGAGCGCTTGCGTTGCCGGATCCGAGATCTGAGGTTCTGGCGCGGCCGTGGTGTATTCCAGCTGCCCCTAGCCAGACTCAAAGAAGCACGAAGGAATTTGCGCACGACCTCAGTCATTAAACAAAATTTGCGAACTGCCTTTCAAAGAGAACCTGATTGGAATCTCAGGATTTCGATCTTTGTGAGGTCATTCCTTTGTCTGTTTCTGGGGCATCTCAAAGTCATCCACTGCACTCGGTTGTTTTCCCTTGCACCCACTACTTGGGGGGTGGGGGTGACTCTGGTACGGAAAATGGGGCCGGCCACTGGTGACCTTCGCTGCAAGCCTTGAGGGTCTTCTCCAACTCGGCTTCCAGCCAGGACAAGCGCGCCTCACGCTAAAAACCGGGGGGCAGGGGGAGGGGGGGGGGGCGGTTTTCTCAAAATAGGAGTCGGACCCCCCCTTTTTGGACGGAGAACCCCCCTGGGAGGAATTGGTCCCCATGTTTTGAGAAACACCCCCCAAAACGCGCAAACTCGGTTGGAAATGGTCCAATCAAACCGTCGTGTTTCCCACTTTTCGTGGATGTCTCATTTGCAGAAGAATCAGTTGATGAACCTCATGAACACTAGTACTAGATCTATCAAATATGCGACACAACAAAGGAGTACGAGCGTGATACCTCACGTGGCACGATCTTCGACATCAAGCAAGCTGCGCCGGGCCTCCAAAGCCGTACTTTGGGAGAAGGCCTCCTGCAGCGCGTGTTCTTTGCATAGGAGTCAGCGCTGCCCCCCCCCTCCCCCCCCAAAAAAGAAGAAGAAGAAGCACAAAACAACCCCCCTGCCAAAAAAAGCAAAACAAAAACACACCAGCATAGACCCCAGATAGCACACCACGGATACGAACCATGACGCAGCATTATCATGATGATGTAGACCATGATGACACCACAGCCACGAAACAAACGCGCAGACAACGTCCTAATGAGATCAACAGCATAATGATGATTTTGAGAGCAATCCGGCCGGAAAAAATGCAAAAAAGAGGTCCTGATGAGTTCGACAGCATCATGATGATGCGGACAGCATCATGATGATGCGGACAGCATCATGGTGATGCGAACAGCATCATGCTGATGGTAAAGGCAGCATCATGATGATACCACAGCCACGAACCATCTTGCGACAGCTTAATGAAATTCTGCATCATCCTGATGTTGACAGCATCACGCCGCCACTACACCCACACACCATAACGTGGGAACATCATGACGATACACCAGCCACGAACCGTTACACGCGAACAGCATCCACCAGCACCCCAAACATGCCCCCTAGCACCCGGTACAACCAAAGCAGCATCCACCCGCGCCTCAAACTGCATGCCCCTTAGCACCCGGCCGTCAAGCTCGCAAAGCAGCATCCACCAGCACCCCAAACTGCATGCCCCCTAGAACCGGCCGTCAAGCTCGCAAAACAGCATCCACCAGCACCCCAAACTGCATGCCCCCTAGCACCCGGCCAGCTCGCAAAACAGCATCCACCAGCAGCCCAAACTGCATGCCCCCCAGCACCCGGCCGTCAAGCTCGCAAAACAGCATCCACCAGCACCCCAAACTGCATGCCCCTAGCACCCGGCCAGCTCGAAAAACAAAACAGCATCCACCAGCACCCCAAACTGCATGCCCCCAGCACCCAGCCGTCAAGCTCGCAAAACAGCATCCACCAGCACCCGAAACTGCATGCCCCCGAGCACCCGGCCGTCAAGCTCGCCGGCCAGCTCGCAAACCAGCAGCCCCCCACCCGGCCGTCAAGCTCGCAAACCAGCACCCACCAGCACCCCAAACTGCATGCCCCGTAGCACCCGCAAAGCAGCACCCACCAGCACCCCCAACTGCATAGCACCCGGCCGTCAAGCTTGCAAAACAGCATCCACCAGCACCCCAAACTGCATGCCCCCTAGCACCCGGCCGTCAATAAATATGTAGCAAGAACTTTGCTTTTCCTGGCTATGTTTTGAGGTCTTCGATGGCAATGGACAATGACTGGAAACAGCTTAGTCAAACACGATTCAGCATCGATGGGTATGCGGAGGGCCGCCTTTGCGCCAAGGTTTTGCCAAACCTAGTGGGTGCCTTGTAGGCAGTCGCCGAAAGTGGTTGCCGGAAACACAGTCCTCAATTGGGGAAGGATGATGGTTTGCAGGAAGGGCCTCAGTTTCTGGCTTGGACAATCCACCGTGCTTAATGTGAACTGGGCTTTTAAACGTTAGATCTTCGAAAGTGCCCCTTCCTTTTGGTGGGCTTCATGTTTGCAAGGGGCATGTGGATATATGGAGAGACAATCTTCACTGTTTGGTGCTTCAAAGTGTCCCTTACGGATCGTGAGTTCAGTTGACCAAAAATCGCTGAATCAGCCCGAACGAAAAATTGTTAATCACCAGACTCATAGCTTGAGGCTCTCAGGTGTTCTTTCACTTGCTGCTCAGTGAATGAGAAATGGAATGAACCTTTAAAGAATCATATACTTGTGTGTCAAAAACAGGGTAACCCCAAAATGGCTTGCCCTGGTAAATGGACATATCAACTTGAAATTCCTGCGGTCCATATCCTGGTGGTGACCAATTTGGACCTGTACCCTCTCTCCCATTGACATGGCACATGAAAGGGGGTCCCTCCAAGAGGAGTTTGATCTTGCAGGTACCCTCCCACAGGTGCCATGTTAGTTGGAGGGAGGGTAACGCAGCTAAAATTCAATCATAAACCCACAATGGCTTGCCTTGGTAAATGGAGATATGGACTAAAATTCCTGCGGTCCATGGTGGTGACCAATTTCGACCTGTACCCGTCTCCACCTTTCCAGCGAGAAAACAAACTGCGAAGCGCCCCGCCTGCGGCCCGGCCTCCAAAGCGCCCAAGCGCCACTCCGTCTGCTTCGAAAGGACCTGAACCGCCGACGCCCAGGCGCCAAAGGGCGCCGGGGGACTTCCTTCAGATTGGCTTCCCTTTTCCTGTGCCCTTGCTTTTGCCTTTCCAAACCCTACGTCGGAAATGTGTGTTTGGCGATCATTCGCCAACGTTGGACAACTATAATGTAAGCAAGTGAACGTCAGCTGAAGATGCATTGCGCGAGTGCACAGCCGCCTGCACGTCACCGACCAGCATTCGCAGCGCTCTGCCAAACTCATCGAACTGCATTTCCATGTCTGCTTGCCGTCTCCTTGGCGCACTCGTAATCAGGGTGTGACATTCAATTTGCAACCCTTTTATGGGCATCAGCTGTTTGTTTGTTGCGCTGCCATCTTTTGAGGGAGTCCCTACTCACATCCTAAGCCAAGGCCAAACCACAAAAATGAAGATCCGCCCGCCGCGACTGGGCAGCCAGCTCTATGTCGGGCTGCATCTGCATGTCAAGCTGCGCCTGCATGACGGCAGGAAGAGGTTTCAAGCATGATGAATCAATGTGCCAATACATGATTTGTGACGGAACCGCATGATCGTGAACTACGTGGACAAAGTTCTAGGTTACGGACTAGGGAAAGAAACTTTATTGTAGAGACATCACTGTAAAGGGCCAACTTGTTTTGCAAGGAAGTGATTGCATAGCGCCAATGCGCAGCGTCCAACCCCCTTTAGCTTCTTTGTGTCTACCAAGATGGTCAGGTTATGACCCTCTCTGTACTCTTCTCCCCGTTGACCCCCTGACACAAAAATGCTCAGGAAAACCGTGATGCCCAAACAAAAACAGGTTTCGCGTTGCCCGGCCTGAGGCTTCTCGCTTTCAGCCGGCCACCTATGGAAACTCGAGATGCACCCCAGAAACCCCGTGAGATTCTCCCGTAGATCCACATAAAATTATCCAAAAAGCAAGGGGTATCAACAAAAACACAAACACCCACCATGTTTCCATGGGGAGATATGTCCAGACCATGTTGGAAGTGATCCCATGAAACCCCCCAAGTGGCTCCTTTTCGCAGCACGAAGGGACTGGCTCATGCTGAAATGGCCGGTAAATCCCGAGCGAAGCCTCACGTTCGAAAGAACCCTTGTGACATTGTGATATCAAAGTGATGCCCATGGCCTTGTCACTTTAAACGGGTTTTTGCTTGGTGTCGCAAGGTTCAACCTCAAGCATCATTTGGGTCTGTGTTTTTGGAGGGTCGCCTTTTTCGGCCGGTAGAAAACGCCCAAATCAAGCGGCAGGGCGTGCCCGACTGTCCCATGTCCCAAATCCCAAGCAACTGTCCAAGTCAGAGATTGTTCGCGGGGTGCCAGTTTGGACGTGCCGGACGTTTTTGTCTTTCAGTTGAACTCCCTCCTTTGGGTGTCTTATGCAAGGGGGGGTAAGGGGAGCCCTGGCAGTGACATTTCCATGGCCATCCGGAGAAGCAACGGACACTCCATGGGTCAAAAGCCATTCCCAGTGACCCCAGACGGGACCGATTCAATCCAACCACTAAGATAGGAAGCCTAAAATGGGTGGTGAAGTCACCAACCCACCAAAACGGGATCAGCCAAAACGGTTTTGACCACCACAGCCAGTTGTTGTGGGGGATCCTAGGTGCTGGGCCCGGCGCGTCCGCACGGAGCCCACCTTGCGCTCGATCTCCCGCAGGTTCGCCTGGTCCCGGAGGAAGTGAAGGGCTTCCCCAAGCCCGTGGAAACACGGGGCCCCCGCTGGCTGTTGCCCGGCTGTTGTGGGAGAAAAGAGTTTTTGCGAGAGAAATGGGTTGTGTCCTCCTCGAACTAACGGAGTACACGACCAATCAGATCGTCAGTCGCTCACATTATCCACGGGGCATGGGACAAATCTTGGTGCTGCGCACTGAGAGCTCTGGCAGCTCACATGCCCTCCTCCAAACCAGCAAATTTGCTGTTCTTGGAGGGCAACAACTTAAGCAGAAATCGGCTCTTGCAGGCCCCTTCCTACGGATGCCAAGCAAACCGCCAACAAAAGGCGGGCATGGAGTCTCACACAATGCTGTAAAGCGGGGGCAACATCGCCAACACAAATCCCGTTGGAAGCCGAAGGAGACCAAAGGAGATCCATTTGGCTGTGGGTCAAAACCAATGGGATCCTATTTTGGGGTAGGCGAATTCACCACCCATCTTTGTCCATTTTAGTGGGGATTGGGTCCGACCCAAGGAGATCCATGTCTCATTGGAACTCCAGCCAATTTGAGCGAACTCGAGCCTCCTGCACCGAGAGCTGCTTGCTGAAGTCCTCCAGCTGCCTTGGTCAAGTTGGTCAGAGAAGGCAGCTGACCAACTCGAGGATTCTTTGCTTTGCTTTGCGCTCGAGAGGACAAATCCACTTGAACAGAGAACCAAAAAACCAATGAACCAAAACACGTCGAGCCATTTTCTTGGGCAGAAGCGGAGGAGCCAACAAACCCAGAGCGCTTGCGTTGCCGGATCCGAGATCTGAGGTTCTGGCGCGGCCGTGGTGTATTCCAGCTGCCCCTAGCCAGACTCAAAGAAGCACGAAGGAATTTGCGCACGACCTCAGTCATTAAACAAAATTTGCGAACTGCCTTTCAAAGAGAACCTGATTGGAATCTCAGGATTTCGATCTTTGTGAGGTCATTCCTTTGTCTGTTTCTGGGGCATCTCAAAGTCATCCACTGCACTCGGTTGTTTTCCCTTGCACCCACTACTTTGGGGGTGGGGGTGACTCTGGTACGGAAAATGGGGCCGGCCACTGGTGACCTTCGCTGCAAGCCTTGAGGGTCTTCTCCAACTCGGCTTCCAGCCAGGACAAGCGCGCCTCACGCTAAAAACCGGGGGGCAGGGGGAGGGGGGGGGGGCGGTTTTCTCAAAATAGGAGTCGGACCCCCCCTTTTTGGACGGAGAACCCCCCTGGGAGGAATTGGTCCCCATGTTTTGAGAAACACCCCCCAAAACGCGCAAACTCGGTTGGAAATGGTCCAATCAAACCGTCGTGTTTCCCACTTTTCGTGGATGTCTCATTTGCAGAAGAATCAGTTGATGAACCTCATGAACACTAGTACTAGATCTATCAAATATGCGACACAACAAAGGAGTACGAGCGTGATACCTCACGTGGCACGATCTTCGACATCAAGCAAGCTGCGCCGGGCCTCCAAAGCCGTACTTTGGGAGAAGGCCTCCTGCAGCGCGTGTTCTTTGCATAGGAGTCAGCGCTGCCCCCCCCCCCTCCCCCCCCAAAAAAGAAGAAGAAGAAGCACAAAACAACCCCCCTGCCAAAAAAAGCAAAACAAAACAAACAAACAGCAAACTGATTCGTGCAGAAGCCTTCCAACGCTTGCTCACATCCTCTTAGAATCGCGTGGTTTGTCATTCATTGGCCAAACAAGCTCCGCGCTGCTTTGCCCTGCAAGCCCCTGAGCATTTTTTGTGCTCAAGCAACGCCCAGCCATCGCAAGGCACCTGGGACACGAAGTGTGAGGCAGGTCGAGCTGTGGCGGGCCTCACGCGACCAAACGAAGCGGAGCTAAGGAACTCGCAAATGGCTGCGGTGTCAAAAACCGATGGCTCTCATGAACTCGTCTTTTTGACATTTGAACTCCCATTGATCGTGGATTCTACTATGGCTATAACCCCCCCCCCCCCCCCCCCCCCCCCCCAATTAAACAACAAAAAGACAGGCAGCATAATCTTAGTAGAACCACAAACTAAGCCATCGCCAATGGCTTGCTGGCGCTGCTCATTCGCATCGCCTGAGGCTGCAACTTGGGTGTGGCTGGCGGCCGCAGCACCCCAGGTGCACATGACAAGTCCCGCGCCCGGAAGAGCTCTCGGAACCTGGGCGCGCTCCGCTCTGGCCGAATCAGCTGATATGCTCTGGCTTCTGGATGTGTCTTTTTCAGTTGTCTTGGAGTGGCGTTTTGGCTTTGGTTGTTTTAGGGACGCCTCTGGGGTACAAAACGAGAGTAGCGTTTTGGTTTTGGGGGTTGTTTTAGGGGACACTTCAAAGGGAAATTACTGCTCGTCATGTCTTCTGATCGGTACCCCAGTCAAACCAAAACTATGGGGGAAGTCAATCAAGCAGTCACCCTGCGTCGACGTCGCATGGTCCTTGGTCCCCTGCTCTTCCAAGAACTCCACCTCACTGGCAATCGATTGGATGCCACGCTGTCAAAGTCGCTTGGATCGATCTACAGCCCAACTCCACGTCACTTCAAGTCCGCTGTTGGTGACTCAACACTGGACCCCCTTCAAGCGCAACGGCCTCCTTCTGGCTCGCTTCCAAAGCCAAACAAGGAACATCGTCCCCCAAGGTGGGATCCTCTTCAAGAGATGGGATCCCCGCAAAGGGAACCCCAAAGAAAGGCGTTTCTACTCAAAACATCGGGATCCACAAGCCAGCACCCCACAACCGCTGCTTTTTTGGACAGTAGTTTCTATTTTGACCTGGGAAAAGCCGGCTGTGGGGGATGCTGGAATGTTGCTTTGGGTTTCCCTTGAACCCGAAAAAGGCCCTCAAAAAAGAGAGAGAGAGAGAGAGCAGAGACCCAAATGAATGAACCCCACCTAAGGTGAGGCCATGGGAATCAACGAACCTCGGTCTCACAGGGCTTCGTTTCCCAGTCCCAGCTACTGCGCCGGGCATTTTGTGTGAGCTCGGAGAGCCGGAACTCCGCCTCCGCCAAACGCTCCTCCAGGGCCGAGGCCAAGTCCTCGGCACAGAAAACCAAAAAAAAACCTGCGCGATGAACCGGCGATCGAGCCCTTTTTCCTATGCCCCGATGTGGTTTCCTTCTTTCGGGATTTCCAGGTTCAGACTCCAGTTCTCATTCCCCAGCGGAAAAACAAGCACCAAGGAAACCCAGCAAGGAAACTTGCGAGTGCGAGAGATGCAGGGAATGAGAGAAATGGTTTCTGACACCAAGAAAAACCATCCAACTGGGGATAGGCAGGGAAAGAGTTGGAATGAATGCAACAAACACCATCCCCTATGGTTTCCTTTGAGTGAATCGATCTTTCCCTCATTCCCTACCTATCGCACCAGCAAGGAGATCAATCTTGCAGCAAACCGCATGGATGCTACATGTTCTGAGCCCCATGCAAGAGCTGCCACCACCAATTCTGGATACCTTAAGCCATCTGGCCATGTTATGCCCTCCCTTGACCAGCACTCCAACGCCAAGTTGATCACCCTGGATGGACAAAATCCTGCACCACTTTGAAGCCATGCGGAAACCATTAGTTGGTATTTACAGGGTGGTCATCATTACTATATCCTCATATCTCTATCATTGATGGTCAAGATTAGTTATTACATGTAGATAAGGATTCTATTTCCCATGCCATGTCTATATTCTGGAGTCTTAATGTGATGCAGCCTGGATTCAAGAATTCTTAGAATTGGCCGTTAACTGGATGAGTCTAGAGAAGGATGTGGATATGAGGTCATTTTTATACTGCTTTTATTTGCCATTTTCCTTATTATTTTTATTATTAGTTAATATTTATTTTACTTTATTTTCATATCTTTATCTTAGTTTTATTATTATAGTTGGTTTTTATTATGTCATTCCTTGTATTCTTGAGTTTATTTTAGTTATTACATTTGGTCTCTTTCATTTCCTGTTTCTTTTGTATATTTATTTCTTATTAGTTTTCATATTTATTTCTGTATTGTCCAAAAGCTGTGTCTCAAGGCATTTTATCCTGATGTAGCACCTGTTCAAGAGATTTCACCTAAAGACTCAGATTAAAGGGAATTACATTAGGTTATTTATCCCTTACCATCCTGTGTCATTCATTTATATTAGAGAGTCTTCTTCCCCATTCCAGGATTTAATAGTTGGCAGTGATAGAGAGTGAAGTGATGCATCTTCTAAAAATCATTTAATATTTATTTATATTTATTTTCTAATGCTATTTTTATATTGATTTATCTTTATTGGTGGTTTGCAGTCTTTACGGAAATCCTTTAATGTAGACCACACAAGGAAAAGCAAAGCAAAGATTAACCAAAATATCAGATAATAGGATTTACAATAATATTTCATGCTTTTATAGTTGGCATGTGGTAAGCGATAGAATCTCCAAGAGAAAGGAATGGCATGTGAGAGGAAAAGGATTCTACAGCTTACATCACATCCAGATACTTTTCATTATCTATCTCTTCTTATATTGTTTCTTTTTTGGAATTCATTTCCATTATTATTTGTTTATCTTTTTCTTATGTTTGTTCTTTTAATTTTCTTTTTACATCTCTTTCTTCTAATTGGGTTTACGGGAATGTTGACAAAGAAGAATCCATTCCTTTTCATTTCTTATGTTTGTTGGTTTTATTAATGTATCTGTCTTTTCCTTATGTTTCTTCTAATTAAATTCTTTATTCTTGGACGTCAATGATAGACGAATTACACCTTAGAAGCTGTCCCAAATACAAGTCTTTCTTGGTGCGAAATGAATTTCGTCCACCCACAGCACACGTTGGAAAAGCTGAAGCACCTTGAAACCCGTGCGCCCTCAAGTGAGGCGTGTGCTCATGGGGATGGCCGGAAGCCAAGTTGGCATGGCGAAACCTCTGGCACTGCCGGGAGAAGACTCGAGCCTGGCAAAGCTGAGAAACCATGAGAAACCACATGGGTCAAAACCCTAAATTCCGTACCCCCAGAGAACGAGACCCAATCCCCACCAACATAGACTAAAATGGGTGGTGAATTCACCTACCCCAAAATGGGATCCCATTGGTGTTGACCCACAGCCACATCTGGTGATTGCAGTTCTGCGAGCTCTTCGCTTCTCGCTGTCAATTCAACAAGTAAGATGTTCATGACCACATGCGCAAAGGCCAAGTTCAAAGCTCAGAGGTGAAGCTCAACTCTGACCCTATGTCAACTTCAGATGAATCCGGATCACGCCAATCCAGGGGGTTGCCCCTTTAAAAGGAAACTACAACAAGCACACGTCGTTTCGTGGCTCCTCACTCCCCGCCTCCCGCGGCGACTTTAGGCCTGTCGTGTGGCCTGGCTCGGCGACAACCAAACGCGACTTCTTCTTCTTCTTCTTTTGCGCACGGGCTGTAGGGTTACGGCACCGCCTTGTTTTACCCAGTGGTTTCCATTTCCCTGTAAAGTAGGTAACTGAGGGAACCACCCTTTAAATACCAAGAGGAAACATGTTGGTTACCTATGGCAACTGGCATGCTAAAACCAAACCTCCGTTTAGCTGCCCAAGGAGCCCCCAAAACTGGCACTTTTCTTTCACCACGCCCAACCCTGACAGCTGGCGCCTGTGCTTCGCAGCTGCACCGCCATGGCCGCGCGCATGGCTGCACTTTGGCTCCTTGCGCCTACCGAGTCGCCTGGCTATGGCGCCGGTGTCCTGCTCATGTCACTGTGCTGTGAGACCTCATGGCGGAGACAAGCGGAGATCAATGTACCCCTGGTGAACATCAAAATAGGTGGCAAATGGATGTTCATCCACCCCAAAATGGAGCCATAGGTTATGCCCCATGGCCATAGTATGAGCAAAGGCGCTGCCTCAGGGCAAAGGAGCGGCGCTAAAAGAACCCCCGCCTGTTGGCAAACTCGCGCTCTCGGCGGGGATCCGTCTTCACAATCTGCGCCGGCAGCGTGTTCCTGTCCTTCCTGTCCTGAATCGATATGCGAGGCAAAATGCCGCACGTCGGCTGGCAGAATCTGAACAGAATCACAGAAGAATCTGAACAGAATCTGAACAGAACGCCGCACACCACAAGATATCAACGTTCGCAGGGATCAACTCCTCAGATGCCCAGGTTCGAAGTTTAGTATGGCTGTGGCTCAACAAAATCATGGAACACATGGCGCCTTGGGAAATGCAGCCAAAGACAAAACCTTGCGCAACCCTAGATCCTGAAGTTTGAGCCACACTCATATGGCTGTGGGTCAAAACCAATGGTACTTCCTTTCTTTCTTTTTTTGTGGGGACTGGGATGTTCACTGGGGGTACGGGGTTTTGACCCATAGCCATATTATGAATTCACGGGTGGTGCCCGCAGAAAGTTGGAGTCACGGGCCTCGCGGCGAACTGGTGCGCCAGCCGGGAAGAGCGGCCGCTTAGAGCTGGCCGGCCTCACAGAAAAACGATGCAGCAACTTCGCCAGAAAATGTAGAAGCACAAGTATGAGAAGAACTACCTGCTGCAGTTTTACTTGAACATCCGGGAGTCTCAATGCTTTTTTCCTTTCCGAGTTCCACTTTGAAACAAGGCACACTCACATCAAACCAGTTGATTTAATCTTCCCTTTCCAAAGCTCACACAATTCATGGCCCTGGTAGATGATTAAACCACCAGGTAAACCGGGAATCAAACCCCTTTTTTTTTTCTTCGACCAACACAACCAGAACGGAAACCTTTGGCTCTTGAGAAGCAGGTGCCCTTTGGCTCCCCGCTTTGGCTGAGGATCAGCTGCATATTCGTCCAGCAACACCGAGCTGGGCTCATCCTGGGCTGCGACTGATCGAAACGGAGGCGCGGTCAGTCACTGAGGTTTCGGCCTTCTGGCTTGCCCAAAAGGGCGGCATCCGGATTCACATCGGGTGAGTTCACTTTGCGAAACTCGAGGAGAAGTGGAGATGCTGTTTCTGAAGTCTCAAGTGAAATGCAGCACGCTCGGGAAGAATGCATGTCACTGATATTCTTCGGAAGCTCGAGAGCGGGCTATTTCTGAAGTGACATGCACATCGCTACATGGCTCAGGGCTTGGGCACTTGAAAGTCTGCGAGGCACAGACGCTAGGCCTGTTGATTCCCGGTCTCCATGCTCCGAGCTCAGCGAGTCCTTTTGCCCACGGTCTCACCAGCATTTCGCCTTCTTGGCGAAGCGCGGCACTTTGGCCCAGTGGACGTTTCGAAACATGGGGCAACTTCGACCAGATCTGTGGCAACTTCCTTTGAGGCATGATCTTCTGAATCCAGGCCTGTTGCTCAGTGGATTGGGTGGCTGGTGCTGACATGCTGCCGATTCAGCAAGGCCCACTCTTTGGCGGAGCTAGCACGACCTGACACCAAGCTGGTTTCACAAGGCGTCTGCTTTTGGTGTTACTCAAAACACCAGCAGATGTGCTGCAGCTAACACGTCAAGCTGATCTGAAACTGTCTCCGGCGAGAGAAGCCAGCCTCTTGGCAATCTTGCGATGAAGATCCTCACTGCACTGCAATGCTTGGCGTGCACTATCTTTTTCACCGCGTCTGCTCCCAGTGGAGACAGCTGAAAAAAATGGACGATAATAGCCAATGCCACGCACCATGAGTACAACAGGAGGGATACCATGCATTACAATCTGCCACATTGCGTATTCATTTGACGGGGAAGGGCTCTTTGTGTTCGCCGCCCGGGTCCAGTCCTTTCTCCGGTGCTCGAAGGCCAGTAACAAGGCGCTGTACCTGAGTGACATCTGAGCACCTCCGTGCCCATAAAAAAGTGATGGGTTCAGGTGTTCCAAGTTACGGGGATGTCATAGAGCCACTTGACCCATTTGGCAGAAAGCCCTGCGGTCCCCAAGACAAACAGCTGGTGGCTTCTCACGCACTTCATGCGAGTGCGCGCTCATGTGGAAAGGCCTCTGAGGCAGCAACGACACCTCGGTGTCATTGTCCACATCCTCTCGCGCACAACTGCCCAACTCAATGCCTAAGCACCTCTTGGCGGCGCAGTCCGTGAACAAACATCTTGCAACAGTTGCTAGGTGGTTTGTTCCCAGTCTTTATAGAAATTGATCCATCCCAACTAATTCGTGCGAGGTGGAGTTTGTCAATCCACAATCTGCGTGTGTCTGAGGTTAAGGGACCTGCAAAGTGGATTTTTGCCCCGTGCACAATATGGGTGCGTCTTTTCGTAAGTGGACCTCGCAACATGGCTTCGGTTCTCTCCTTTGGTTCCGCCCAAAAAGGGGGGGTACCAACTCGAAAAAAAAAAGGGCGCTTTTCAGACCATGGCAGCCACTCGCGAATCCAAAGCGATCCCAAGTCGAGGTCCTTGCGGCTGCAGAGAATGTCCAAGGTGTCAGGCGTCGACACCTGGCCGAAGATGGTAGCTCTTGACCCAAACCACGGTGGGTCCAAATGGAAACCCAACACGGACTCTCTGGCGGTTTCCGGGTCTAGAAAAAGTGAACCTGATGCTTAACTGGCTCTTCCAGTGAGCTCGGGGACTAGTTCCCTCAGCCTCCTTTTGGATTCCCCTTGGAACCATCCCACAAAAAAAGCTTCAGAGCATGTTTCACTCACTTCCTAGGTGGTTCGGGTTAACTCGGTTGCTTTCTGCTCCCCTGCTGAAAGTAAAAACTTTTAGTGGTTGAATTCGGAAACCCGACTAGTTGGCAAAAAGTGCAAGTCCTAACATCCCTTGGCAAAATGCACCAAAGCCAACCCTCACCGATTTCCTTGTGTGATTCCTTGGGTTTGTCTGGCAAACATTTCACCGATTTCCTTGTGGTTCCCTTTGGGTTTCCCTGGCAAACAAACCCGAGTATGGAAATGGTCATGGGTCAAAATCCAAATCGTACGCCCCTAGTGAACATCCGATTCAATCCAACGACTAAAATAGGTTCTAAAATGGGTGGTGCCTTCACCTACCCCCAAAATGGGATCCCAAAACGGTTTTGACCACCACAGCCACATTGGTGTGGGTCAAAATTAAGCCACAAGGGACCGCAGGTTTTAGTCCATGTTTCCATTTACCAGGGCAAGCCATTTTGGGGTTACCCTATTGTTGACCACCACAGCCAAACCACGCCCGCCTCGATGAGGGCCTCCGCCGTCTCGTAGTTCTTGGCAACCAGTGCCAGGTGCAGCGGGGTGAGGTCGCGCCAGAGCCAAGGCTCCTGACGCATCCGTCGATCCGTCGATCCGTCGATCTCGTCTGGGCATGAATTTTAATTAGGACCCTTTGGTGGACATCATTTAGGTGGGGATTTATGTCTACCAATCACTTTCTCTAGGTGGTTCCCCATGAAAATTCATAGCCTGGTTGGTTGATTGTGCCAGTCATGACCATCTCCTGCCAAAATTCGAGTGGGAGAATAGAATCAAACTCTAATCACCTGCAAGTCATTGGAAAGTTGGCAGGACTCGTTCCCGAGAGCTTTGAGCATGTTAAATCACGGTGCGCTTTTCGGCTCCGTGCCTTCTCGGGGTCACCGTCTGTTTCCAGCGTGGCCCAGAGCTGACAGCAGGTGGCCCCAAGTAGCTCCTCTCGCTTTCGTGGAGTGTCGGCTCGTTTCGCGCTGGTCTGATACCCCGAGAGGTTTGAGGCCAATGTGCTTGTGGCAGAAAATTGGCCACTGGGGCTCAAAGACAAACCGACATCCTGCTCATGCCGCGTGCTGCCCCGCAGATTCGGACTATCCTACTATATAAGCCATTTATATTGGGGGGCTTTGAATACACCGAACATGGACCGTGTCTGTGAAGCGCGTCATTCCTGGTCAAATGTCATGTCGCAACACTGGCACCGCCTGGGTGTGGGTCAAAAGTAACCCACCAAGATATGGGCCGCTAGTTCAAGAGTCCTGGTTTTTCATTCACCAGCGTTCCATTTCTTGCTGGCGCGAAAGGTAGGGAATGAGAGTTGGAACGAACCCAGGAATTGGTTTCCCCCGAAAGGAATCCAGCCTTAAGGGTTGCAACCCATGGAGTTGACCACCACCTCGCCTTGGCCTGCGGCGGTCGAGTCTCCCCGGGGAAGACGCTGGAGACATCGCTGCTGGCGCCCGTCAAGAGGCCGTTGGCAGTGGCCTGCGAGCGCCACGACTCAGGAGTGCTGCTGGTTCTGGACTCGTACCCCTTCTTCGGTAGGTTTTAAAGGGAAACCAAAAGCAACACCGAAGCAAGTTTGGGAGGTCCACGAAAAAGACATGACCTTATGGGAATCTCTATGCGCTGATTTTGTGAAAGGATTGATGATCACCGTTGTCCCTCAGCACAATTGTCAGAGTGGTGCACCTCAGGCAACAGGCCTGCAAAGCGCCCGAGCAAAAAGCCAAGACATTTGACCATTCCGCGCACACACACACAGAGCACTGCACCCCGGACTGTCCAACTTTTGCCAAGAGGCTGTAAGACCCAGCAGTGCACAAAGATGCAGCGGCGTCAGTCCTGGTTCTTTGCCAAAGCAAGCATGTCGTGAGAACACCCTCTCCATCTAGTAAAGGTTTACAAGGCAGGGAGCCCGGAAAGCAAATCAATTTGGGCTTGAGATCACAACACATCGAACTGTCGCAGCTTCCACGGGTGCTTTCAACCCGCCTCTGAAGCAGTTGTCAGTGATGGAGTAGTGCTTCGGAGCCTGAACAACTAGCGACTGATTTGGCAACTTTGCATGATACTGGAATCCAGGCTCTATATTGGAGAGCGGAAGCTACCAGCAGTCTATTCCCCTGCTTCCCATTTTGGTCTGCGCCCCTTAGTTGACTCTCCTTGCTGAATCAGGCACAATTCAGCTGGTGCTGGCCCCTTGCCTCGATGGCAATGTGGTCCAAGGGCTGCAGCAAGTCAGCTCCAAGCCTCTCCAACAAACAACGGTGGCAGTGGTTCCTTATGCATCGGATGCTTTTGTCAGCGACTTATTTTGGTGTCATCGTGGATTTGACGTTCACAATCCCTTTCACACTTTCATAACAGCTCTTACTTGCCAGGACTTTGCTCCTCTCTCAAACTGTCGGTGTCTCCCCCGACTTGAGCAGGAAGGCGGAATCTTTATCCCCTCATTCACATCACGTGTTAGACTATTTCGTCTGGGCATGTCACACACATGGTCCATTTTCTGGTTATTTCCCTTAGTGACCCTCAAAGTGGTTCCCTTTTCTGATATTTGCACATGAGGCACGCGCAATACTCAGTGTCCCCGTGACTTTGGGAAGTACCCTCTATCACACCCACAAAATATAAGCAGTGACACCGGCCATGTAGCAAACTATAAAGAGCATATTAATTTTATAAAACTAGAATCAACCAAAACAGACCACACCAGGCCAACACAGACCAAAATGGGGAACCATATCTTCAACTTTTTACAATATACATCCAACATCTCACAGGGCACGCCCAAGCAAATACGTTACCATCAGACGGGTGCGCTCGTAGGCCGAGCGCAGGCCCTGCGCCTCAGCAGCAGCAGCGCCACATCCCCGCGGCCCCGCAGCAGCGCGTAGCTGAGGGGCGTGAGGCCGCGCCATGCCCACTGCGGCTGCAGACCCACCCCCTCCACCTGAAGCTCACTGGTCTCATTTGACCAACGTCACCCAAGTGCTAGGCCTATCGCGACGCCATGGCTGGTGAATTCATGGACATGCTGATGTACCAAGTGCTAGGTGAAAGGGAAACCACCGAGAGTGTCTGACTTTGAGTTTGAGAGAAGCAGTGCAAACCTCCTATACTGCACAAATCTCCCGGCAGTGCTCGCCAGAGGTCACAAGCAGACCAGGGTGCACTTCGAGGGAGAAAACAGCCTTGGGCGGGAGAGAAAGGTTCTTACCAGACAGTACCCAACGAAAAGGCGCTGCAAGCTGTACAAAGCATCAAAAGCGGGGAACACACTCCCAGAGGGGCAACAAACAAGATGGAAGTAGTCCTCCAAAGGTCTTCGCCAAACAGTTCTATCGGACCAGGCGCAGCGCAGAGTGCAATCGTCACTCAACACAGTGAAAATAATGACTAGAAAGTTCACCTTTTGGGCGAGTGGGTTGGCTGGTTTTTGTTGGGCTCAGGAACTTTGGAAACTTCCGTTAGACCTTCAGAAATCGACAGGCTGAAACTGAGGTGGATGTGAGCCCAAGCCAAAGTTCTCCATGCTTCCCACAGCACCCCAAAAGAGGGTCCTCAAACAAAGACATACACCTTTGACCTTTGATTGACAAAGTGCCAAAGGGGAGCAAGGTACACAATGATTGCAGGCCTGCTCAGAGCTTCCCTTCCCACGGTACGAGGAATACTGTGAGAGTGCATTGCACAGACCGGCGATATACCGATATACCGCTAGAAAACTACCACCATCTCCTGGAATTCTCTTGGAAAAACACCTAAAAACCCGGGGATTGCACGATTTCCTTGATGTTCGCCCAAATGATGGGGGCTGGGGGGGAGGGAGCCCTGATTTGAGGGCCGAAAAACAGGGGCGCCCTTCCCCTCCGCCTCCCTCGCCCTCAGCCCCCATGACCAAAACATCGAGAACCACTCCAGCACTTAGTAACCTCCAACGTCGGTGCAATGGGCAAATCCGCACATCCTCATTGTGGCAAAAAGCCCACAGAAGTTTTTTGCGAGGCAAGGCCAGCGCTCCCCTCCCGTCCCGACTTCCTGCGAAACCCCAACCACCTAGCTGTGGCTCAAAAACATAAACAAACTCCCAAAACGGCATGGCAAATGGATGCAAAGACTTTTTACCTGCGAATTTGCCCCAAACCTGCGTGGCGGTTTGCCCCAGCTCTGGCGGAGTTTGAGCCACACCTCGACTTCTCGCGACTCGCGCCTTCCAGGGCCAGAAGGCCGGGGTCAGGTCAGGCACCAGCGGCAGCTTTGCGCCGATCTCTTGGCGCAGGGCCTGCAGCTGCTGCAGCATCTCCAGGGTGCCCAGGCGCACGCAGAGAAACACCGGGTCCTCGGGTCGGGGTCTGAGAAATGAGAAATCAGTCCCTCAGGTTGGTTTCTGCCGTGGCAAAAAACCAAAAGCAGGAAATACCAAACTGCTTGAAATACGGAAATGACATATATGGCTGTGGGTCAAAACCCCGTACCCCCAGTGAACATCCCAATCCCCACTAAAATGGACTAAATTGGGTGGTGCATTCACCTACCCCAAAATGGTACCGTTGGTTTTGACCCACGGCCGTTAAATGGCACGGGGGCAAAACGCGAGAAAAAAAGAGCGTCCTCGTTCCGAAGGGAGACGGGAGACTCCCGAACGTGTTTTTTAGCCAGAAATGGGAGGGTCAGGATTGGCGGTGTGCTGTGAACCGCAACTCTGACGTGCAATGGGTTCATTCAGATTCACCACACACACACACACACCCTTGCTGAAAGAGTCCCAAAAAGAAGGATAGCTTCGTTTTGAGACATCCATCAGCCTCCACTTATGGCTCCCATGGCTCAGACGCGTCCCAGGGGCCAAGTCCATGCCCTGCAGCAGTGGGTCATCCAAGGGCTCCAGCAGCACCTCCCGCACCACGCCCAGATCTGCGCCGGCATGCAGTAAGTCGTGCCTCAGCTTTTTTGGTAAAACCGAAAGGATTGGTGGCGCAGGCAACAGGTGATTACCTATTCATCCACTAGAACATCCCCAAACATTCAACAAACACATAGGATGGTACAGCCAGAGACTTGAGTTGGGACGACCCACCCCTCAATACACCCATACCACGGGTTCCCGCAAAGCCCCACGGCGAATCTTGTCTTTCTCGGACAAATCACACTAGCATAGACCCAAGATTAGGGTTCCCCTCTCTGACTACCCCAGGGCGGTTCACTACTGCCCCAAATAGCACAAGAGATTACACAGCACCCGCACGACCTGCAGCACCAACCTGGCCCGAACTCGCAAAACAGCCTCCGTCTGTTAAAAAATAACATCCCCTCATAGCTTTCAGCTCTGGGAAAAAAACCTGTCGCACCTTCTCGTGTCTCGCACTCAAGCCTTGCTTGCGGCGTCTCAACCGGAACGTCAACATCAAGAAGTCCAATGTGTTTGCAACCATTGAGAATATCCCCTTACAGACTTCTATTCCTACACACCTACTTATACACAGCATGAACACCAACGCACGCGTTCACCAACACAACTCCGAGTTGGGGAACATGCGCATGAGGCAACCACGCCCAGACAAAGCAAGCGGCAGAGCCCAAACCTGGTCAAGGATGATCGCCAGGTGCGCGGGGCGAAAGCCCTGGAATCTGGTGCGGCCGTTGCTCAGCGCTTGCAGCCTGACGCCCGAAGCAAAACGCGGGAGGAGACCAAAGGCCCGGGAAGGGTTCCTTGAAGCTGCCTAGAAGCTGCTCGAAGGATTCTTGGAGCTTACTGCGGAAGGGGTCCCCCATGGCAACTGGCAACAGAACAAGCAGAAGCAAACAAATGGCAGACATACTGGCTGGTGCTCGGCAGGGAATGCTCCTGGGTTCATTCCCACATTCCCTACTGAGCACAAGCAAACATAAAGCTTTTCACCGCCTGGATGTCAGCTCTGGCGAGGAGAGGCCTTTTCCCTCCAGCAAGGAGCGTGAGGATGCTGCATCGTGCGGCCACGCAAACTCCTCACGGACGCGCGAACTTCCCAAAGGCGCAAGCGCGAAGCTTTCAGAAGCTCCTCTATGGGTTTGGAGCCATCCTAGGTCCTCCAGTAGAGAGGTTAGAATAAGGGTGCCCTTTTTTCTGTGGTCTATTTTAGTAGGGGAACCCTCCCCCCAAAAAGGGGTGAGAAAGGGCACTACTACTGGGGGACCTTGCATCTCTTCCCCCAAGCACTCGAACCTGAGACCATAGGGGAAACAAAATATGAACCGAGCTGCTAGGGGCTTGACATCAATTTCTGGGCCGAGTGCGGGTCTGTCAGTCGTGCCCGCTCAGACCCCCGCGCCTTGTTGAGGTTGGTGCGCTGGTCCAGGAGTTCCCGCAGCGACTGCTGGCCCTCCAGGATGGCGCTCACCCAGTCCTGCACCAAGAAACCGGTTGACCCGAGAAACTTGGGACAAAAAATGCATGAAGCTCCTCAAAGATGCAAAGTCGCGCAAGCAAAACACACAGGCACATAATGGTTTGTTGTTGATTTTAACTAGCTCCAGCTTTTTAGTCGCCTTTGCGGCACAAGGCATCCTCTCATGTGTCTCGAAGCGAGTTGGCTGGGAATCCTTGCTTCACTTTTAGGTTGGGGGCAACAGGCGATATTCTCGTGCTTGGCCGCATCCCCATCATTACCCGCCTCGCTCTCTGAGGCCTACGGCTACCAGGGCTACCACGGCTACCTATTGGATTTGATTTGGTTTCAGTTGAGAGTCGCTCGCTGGTTTCGGGCGATCTTCGGGGTTCAGATCTTACCGGGCGCGGGCCTTGGGAAGCTTTCTGTCTAGTGTGTTGGGCGGTTTAGGGTTGACTTTGGGTCCGTTTGGCTTGGGGCTGACTGCGCTAAGCCATGCGCCCAGCAAATCTCAGCAAGCCCACAACTCACCTCCAAACCAAATCCAGTAGGTAGCCCTGGCAGGTGCAGGTCCCAGCGTGGCAGGTTGATGCTGGGGATGCGGACGACCCCCCCTGACATAAAACTTGTCAACAAGCTTTCCAAGATCATTTCATCCAAACACAATCAACGCCTTTCCAGTGTCCTTATAACCTCACATTTGCGAACACTTCCCTTGGCATTCCCATGACACCCCCAACATACCCCTCGACCAGACCGTCCTCGAGGCTAATGGGCGACTCCCCACCGAACATCTCCACCAAGGACCTTCGCTCGTAGGCCGCACACCGCACCGCTTCACTGACCTCGGCGCCCTTGTCCATGAGGCTCGCGCAGCCCTGCGGTCGACAGGGCGGGGCGGTCTTCTTTTGAAAGAACCCGTTTTGGGTGTGCAAGGGGAACAAAAGGAAAGGCACCAATTTTGAGGCGCCAGTTAGAAATTTTGAGACAACCTCCAGGAGGCGCAGGGGTGGGTTTGGGGAAACTTCCATTAAATATCTAGGGATCCTTCTTTTCTGGAAACCATCAACCATCCGGGGGCAACAGCTAGTTGTTGAAAAGAACGATGGTTGAAAAAAATGAGAATCCATTGTTGAACGGGCATAGCTTCGGAAAACACAAAAAGAACACGTTAAGTTGGTTTGTTGATTCTGGAAGCAGTCTGATGTATTGGAAGCATTGACGCGCCCTTGGCTTGCCAACCAGTCTCGGTTTCCTTTTGTTGGCTCCCGCAAATGCTGTGGATAGGACGAAATCCCTTTCGCACCACCTAAGAAACCCTGGAATGTTCGATTCCCCAACGTAAATACCAACAAACAATGGTTTCAACGCTTGTTTCATTTCGTGGTGCGAATCGAAGTCGCAACCATCCACAGAAGCTCCAAACAGAAAACCCAGTGCAAGACTTGGCCTTGGCGTCCTCCAGTAGCACTGCCAAGTGCAATGGGGTCACCTGGGTGGCGCGATGCGCCCCAAGTCTTAACTTCCTCTTCACCTTTCATGATATGGCCATGGGTCAAAACCCCGGTTAGCCAAGTGAACATCCCAATCCCCACTGAAATAGGTGCTAAAATGGGTGGTGAATTCACCAATCCCCCAAAATGGGATCCCATTAGTTTTGACAACCACAGCCATACTCCGACTTTCCAAGTTCAAAGTCGACTTGGAAAGTGAGGCTCGGCATCATCCGTGGTGCCAGCAATAGGTTCGATGCCAGGTTGCAATGGACCCCCCAGCAGTTTACCACTAAGCAACAAGGAAGCAGTACATACCACTCTTGCACCATGTAAGTACCAGTAATTAGGGTGTATGAGGTGCCTTCAGTTGCCACTGCATACCTTGGTTGCCTACTTCACTGGCAACTGGAAGCACTGGTAAGCCCAAACAATTGCTTCTCAAAATAGGGCTCCCCGAAAATGCTGTTTGTTTACTGGTTTCCTTAGGCCTTTGAAGGCCTCACGTAGGCCAGACATATCTCTCCCCGCCCGCTTCCCGCCTGTGTGGAGCCCGTGCAGGCGGAGGCCTCTAGACTGCAGTCCAACTGCAAGAGCGTCGGCACCAAGTCCTCGCGCGCAAACCGGTCCCGGGACCGGTTTTGAGCTTCCGAGGAACCCGGGGGTTCTACACCTTTAGGCCTTTAGGAGCCTTTGTCTTTGTTTGCCCCCCGAAAAAGGGGGGGCGACAGCCGAATCCTGACAATATGTGATTGGTTTGAGGGGGAAGCCTGTTCCCAGGTTTGCCCCATGTGTCTCAAAATCTGGGAACGCTCATGCTTGGTTTCCCCTCCCCCCTTCAAACTGTGGGACAGGCCCAAACCTTGCATCAGCAGTTTCATGCCGTCACGCCCTATCCAAATCACTTTAAAAAAAATAACTGTCAAACTTCATGCCGACTTCCCTGTTAGACGTTCATGACAAGTACAGACCATTGTATACGGGATTTGTGCTAGTAGACAAGATCACCACAAATACACCTTTTTCAAGAACAACACATATACTCTGGTATTGTCCGTGTAGCGTACAATATCTCTACTTGTACCTTGGGATTCGTATTGTGGATGGACAAACTCCTGCGCGCCAGTTGGGATGGATCGAACTCTATGAATAATGGTTGATAAGCCACCTGCCAATTGGTGCCTGGCGTGGGAATTTGTCCAGCCATAGCATGATACTCTACAAACTTTGCATCTGAATCTGATTTCCATGATTGTGGGAATTTCATCGTTTCTGCACCACCACTTTATCACTTTAACGGTTTCCTTGGTATCACCGAAAGTGACAACTCACCACCATGATATGTTTTGTGTCTCAATATAGGGTTACCCCATTTAAAATGGATGGGTTTCCCTCTACTTTCCCCTTTAAAACAGCCCCCCAAAGGGGGGTACCATCAAGACACACCTATTTATCACTTGAGGCAAGCGGCATACTTCCGGCTCAACACCGCCAAGTGCACCAGCGTCAGGCCACTCCACTCTTCCTGCCTGAGCACTGACACGTTTTTTCCGCGTGGATGTGGGGTTGTCTCAAAACTTGGCACCGACCAAACGCGTGATTATGGTGCTCGGTGTGCAAATGAGCCGCGATTCGTCCAGAAACCTGTCATTTTTTTATTAAACAAAATACGATGTTTGTGAGAAAAAGGCCTTTTTGACTTGGTTTGCCTCAATCAGGGCGAATCCAGGAACCAAAAACTTGTGGCATTCATGGAGCCGAGCAGCGGCTGATCATCTGCCATGATTTGCCCAGTACCTTGGGTCATGTTCGCGTGACTTGTGGCTACAGGCTCATGGAAACGACGTGGTGTGTCTCGAAATGAGGGACTCCCCATTTTTGTGTTTTTTCTTTGAATTCCCGGCCAAACCACGACACCCGCAACAAAACTAGACGACGAGTGGCCCGGAAGCATAGAGGCAAGTTGATGCAGGTGAGGTAACTCTCGCCAAGTTAGCATGAGGAGTTGGCAGGCGAAGCAATTCTCAAAAAGTTGGCATGAGAAGCTGGCAGGTTAAGTAACTCTCGAATAGTTGGCTGGCAAAGTTGGCGGGTGAAGTAATTCTCGCAAAGTTGACATGAGAAGTTGGCAGGCGAAGTAACTCAAGAGAAAAGTTGGCATGAGAAGTTGGCAGGTGAAATAACTCTCAAAGAGTTGGCATGAGAAGTTGGCAGGTGAAGTAACTCTCGAAAAGTTGGCGTGAGAAGCTGGCAGGTGAAGTAAGTCTCGAAAAGTTGGCACGAGAAGATGGCGCGTGAAGTAACTCTCGAAAAGTTGGCGTGAGAAGCCGGCAGGTGAAGTAACTTTCGAAAAGTTAGCATGAGAAGTTGGCAGGCGAAGTAATTCTCGAAAAGTTGGCGCGAGAAGTTGGCAGGCGAAGTAACTCTCGAAAAGTTGGCAGGCGATGTTGGCAGGTGAAGTACCTCTCGAAAAGTTGGCATGAGAAGCTGGCAGGTGAAGTAATTTTTCGAAAAGTTGCCACGAGAGGTTGGCAGATAAAGTATTTCTCGAAAAGTTGGCATGAGAAGTTGGCAGGTGAAGTAATTCTCGAAAAGTTGGCAGGTGAAGTTGCCACGAGAGGTTGGCAGGTAAAGTATTTCTCGAAAAGTTGGCATGAGAAGTTGGCAGGTAAAGTAATTCTCGAAAAGTTGGCATGAGAAGCTCGCAGGTGTAGTAACTCTCGAAAAGTTGGCATGATAAGCTCGCAGGTGAAGTAACTCCTCGAAAAGTTGGCACGAGAAGTTGGCAGGTGAAGTAACTCTCGAAAACATCTGGCTGGCATGAGAAGCTGGCAGGTGAAGTAATTCTCGAAGTTTCGGCATGAGAAACTGGCAGGTGAAGTAATTAACCCTCAAAAAGCTGGAGCGGCGGAGGCGCTCCGCGTGCTACATTTGCAATTTACAGTTGCGATTTTCCAGCCATTTGTATCTAAAAGTTGCGATTTTCCAGCCGGAGCTGCGGGAGCACGCTCCGCGTACTACGTCTGTACTTAAAAAGTGCGATTTTCCAGCCGGAGCTGCAGCAGCCTCCGCGTACTACGTCTGTACTTAAAAGTTGCGATTTTCCAGCCGGAGCTGCAGGAGCACGCTCCGCGTACTACGTTTGTACTTAAAAGCTGCGATTTTCAAGCCGGAGCTGCCGCGGACCAGGGGGGAATCGAACCCGGGACCGCGGGATTGCGAAAGCAGGCGCGCACACCACGAGACAACTTCCAAAAGCCGTTTCGCGAGCAAGAAAATCGCACGGCGCCACAGCGAGAGCGCTTCGACACGCACGATCTCCGCAGAGGGTTCATCGGGCTCAAGACAGATGCGCACGGCGCCACAGCGAGAGCGATCCGACACGCACGATCCCCGCAGAGGGTTCATCGGGCTCAAGACAAATTCGCACGGCGCCACAGCGAGAGCGCTTCGACACGCAGGATCTCCGCAGAGGGTTCGCCAAGGTCAAGACAAATTCGCACGGCGCCACAGCGAGAGCGCTTCGACACGCACGATCTCCGCAGAGGGTTCGCCAAGGTCAAGACAAATTCGCACGGCGCCACAGCGAGAGCGCTTCGACACGCACGATCTCCGCAGAGGGTTCGCCAAGGTCAAGACAAATTCGCACGGCGCCACAGCGAGAGCGCTTCGACACGCACGATCTCCGCAGAGGGTTCGCCAAGGTCAAGACAAATTCGCACGGCGCCACAGCGAGAGCGCTTCGACACGCACGATCTCCGCAGAGGGTTCGCCAAGGTCAAGACAAATTCGCACGGCGCCACAGCGAGAGCGCTTCGACACGCACGATCTCCGCAGAGGGGTGCGTTTCGTAAGCTCCCGTCGGGCCTACCCCCGCCATAAAAAGAAGAAGAATTAAGAGTCGAGATGTGAAGGTAGAACAGAAAAGTTAGCTTGTGTTTTTAGGATAGTGAAGTAACACCCGACAAATTAGCTTGTGCTTTTAGTAGAATGAGATAACAGCCGAAAAGTTGACATGAGAAGTTGGCAGGTGAAGTAAGCTGGCTAAGGTGAAGTAACTCTCGACAAGTTGGCATGAGAAGTTGGCAGGTGAAGTAACTCTCGACAAGTTGGCATGAGAAGTTGGCAGGTGAAGTAACTCTCGACAAGTTGGCATGAGAAGTTGGCAGGTGAAGTTGGCAGCCGCTTTTAGAAGAAGAACCCTTCGCAATGCTTCCGGGAAAAACACAAACCTTCTCGTTGATTCTGTGGGCAAGGGCCCGTGCACAATGCTCATCCCCATCATCCCCCATGTTTTCCGCCACAAGAAAACTGATTCCCTTTACCGAGGCTTCCATTTTGCATGAGGCAAGCCGCAGGTGATGTCTGGGCTGATTCCAAAGAACAGCAGCTGCTCCACCATCATCATGTCGCCGCGCAGGACTGCCTTGGCAGCTGAATTTGTGCTGCCCAGCGGCAAGATCACACTCGAAGGTTTGTCCGGTTGCCCCTTTGGTTGGGACCAGTGTGGCGTATGCGCAGGAGGAAACTCACATGAGTCACCTGGTACAAAAATGGTAAACCCAAAACCATGTAAACAATTATCTTGCTAACCTGCACGTACCCGGGTTTTGAGCGTGTGTTTGACGCCACCGAGAAAACGTGCCTTCAAAGAACAAACAAACAAACAAACAAACAAACAAACAAACAAACAAACAAACAAACAAACAAGCAAGCAAGCAAGCAAGCAAGCAAGCAAGCAAGCACACACAAACACAAACACAAACACAAACACAAACACAAACACAAACACAAACACAAACACAAACACAAACACAAACACAAACACAAACACAAACACAAACACAAACACAAACACAAACACAAACACAAACACAAACACAAACACAAACACAAACACAAACACAAACACAACACAAACACAAACACAAACACAAACACAAACACAAACACAAACACAAACACAAACACAAACACAAACACAAACACAAACACAAACACAAACACAAACACAAACACAAACACAAACACAAACACAAACACAACACACAAACACAAACACACAAACACAAACACAAACACAAACACAAACACAAACACAAACACAAACACAAACACAAACACAAACACAAACACAAACACAAACACAAACACAAACACAAACACAACACACACAACACACACACACACACACACACACACACACACACACACACACACACACACACACACCCACACACACACACCCACACCCACACCCACACCCACACCCACACCCACACCCACACCCACACCCACACCCACACCCACACACCACACCACACACACCACACCACACACACCACACCACACACACGCACACGCACACGCACACGCACACGCACACGCACACCACACACACCACACGCACACGCACACGCACACGCACACGCACACCCACACCCACACCCACACCCACACCCACACCCACACCCACACCCACACCCACACCCACACCCACACCCACACGCACACGCACACGCACACGCACACGCACACGCACACGCACCCGCACCCGCACACGCACACGCACACCCACACCCACACCCACACCCACACCCACACCCACACCCACACCCACACACACGCGCGCACACACACACACGCACACTTCCTCTGACCAAAGTCTTTCATTGCTGTCTCTTTGAGATCCATGCGCACCCCCGGGTGCAAGGGAAAAAAACACCTTGGGGATGGCAGGTCCGGGCTTTTGATACCACATAGCACCCAAGGGTGCTACGGGCCTTCCTATGGGTCAGTCTTTCTTGAGGGAACCATGTTTTGCGTTGCTTTAAACAGACACTAAAGACACAGCACCGACTTTTGGCGGGTTCCAGAACCCGTTTAAGAAACAAATCCATGCGACGCCAGCGTTTTCAGAGCTTCGGGGCTATGGGGAGCCTTCCGCTGGCTTCGCAGACATCTCGGGAGCTCCCCGAAGCCATCTCTCCGACAAAGAGTGCTGCTCATGTGAGCCAAACCCCTTGACTTTTGCTACCAACATGGAGCCTGAGGTCTACCAACATGAAACCAGGGACCTTCATGTCAGCCAGGGAGCTTGGAGCAGCTCAAATGTGGGGGTTGATTCCGATCGGCCCCCAAATGACCATGGGTAACTTTTCCTTTTTTGTCATCCTATGTAAAGGACCTTTTGATCCGCCTCCATGATGTGCTGCGCTGTCTTTTGACGAAGCTGCCAAGTGCACGGCCTGCGCTGGCACCACCAGGCACCGGCCGTGTGCATCCAGCGCCCGGCGTGCGGTTCGGCCCGCGTCAGCGCCCGCGTAGAGCAAGAGACGCACCGCCTCACAGCTGCCCGCCTCAGAGCAAGGATTGCCAGATTCTCACCTGGGCTGTCCGTTTTCAAATCTGCTAAGAGTGACTACCTTGTGTGTTAAATGGACACCCCACCACTAAAGCCACTAACATCACCGAGAAAAAAAAACAAGGAACCGGATGGCTGGGAACCACCAAGTCCCCTGTAGATGTAGGGAGGCCTCAGAATCCTTGAAATTGCCTCCCCGGACGACCAATCATGTCAGTGATTCGTATTGAGCAAATCGCTAGGGGAAGAGTGCCGAGCCTCCCTCCAATCGAAGCGGATAGGACGGGTTTGGAGGAAGCCCCTGGTCGCTTCCACGATGACTGGGACAAGAGCAGGTGCAAACCCAAAAGCGATTCCCACAAGAAGTTCACATCAGTTCCGCGTGGAGATGGAAATGGTTTGTCAAGAAGAGAATGCACAGGGAGTGTCGTGTCATGAACACTAAAGGAGAACTTGTGAAAAACCAAAGCAGCGGCTGCGGCAGCTAGGGCAAGCAGTGGCCCACACATGTTTGACAACCTGACTCTAATCAACGGCCAAAGCAAAGGCAAAGCAGTCGAATGGAATGACGTTCGAGGGCTCGCTCTTGTCGTGCATATCCCATGTTTTGATATTTCACCTGGAGAACTGTCCGGGAGAAGTGTTCTAAGAACCACATGAAACATGGGTGGTAGGATACAATCGAATGGTCAAACCATCAGGCGCGCAGTCAACAGGCCACAACACAAAGAAGCTCAGCCCTTTCCACCACGCCTGCGCAGCGAAGAGCAACGCGGTAGAGGGCTCCTCGTCCTGTGCAGCACCTGAGACGTGGATGCCTCACATCTTCCTAAAGTCACCAGCGCAAAGGAACACTGCGCCATGCCACACTCGAGCTGCATGCCTGCAAGACCATCATCAGTGATCCGGAAGTCGATGTCGCTGGCACAGCGATATGTGACCTCAAGCTCACACGCTCTGACGCGCATCTCCTCATGCCGTGCCTTTCACCGTCAATTTTTGGAAGGCTTCTTTGCAGCCGTGCTGCGTGATGCTCGCGCCGCAGCACCGACAAGACCTGGACGTGTCTCAGAAACAGGGGTACATCAAAAATGGCGCAAAAAACGGTCTTCCTCCCAGGTTTCCCTTCAAAACCCCCCAAAAAACAAACCCAAACGTGGACAGGCTCCACCTCGCCGCTGTGCCCCAGCTCTGACGCAGTCAGGGCGCAACGGCTGCTAGTGTCATGGACTAGTAGCACGCTAAGCGAAGCGTTGGGTGCCTCCGCCAAAATCGGAACGGCGCCCCACCTCCAGGAAGTCGTTCAGCGCGTGCGCCCCGCTTTGCCCGGCGCAGCGGATGGCCAGCCGCACCTCTTCGCCCAGCAGCCCGTCCAATCGCTGCTCCGTGGCGCGGGTGTTGCCCAGCAGCCTCGCGGCGGATCGGAGGGATCCCACGGATCGCACGGATCGCACGGATCGGGGCGTCCGTTTCTGCGGCGCGGTCGGTTTCTTGCCCCCCCTCCCCCCGAAAATCGGCAAAATGGCTGTGGCTCAAAAATAGGTACCCAAAATCGAACCCCGGTAAAAGAAAACATGGTTAAAACCTGCGGTCCATATCCTGGTGGTTTAAGTTTGACGGCCCATACCCAAATGGCAAAAAGGTGCGCCTGGGCAGCAGAAGCCCGGAGTGGTCCCCGCAGGAGCTGCTCAGCCGCAAGCCATGGCCCATGAGCAAGCGGTAGACCTGGCAAATGGGGGACCCCTGAAGCGTATAAGGATTTTCACGGCATGGCTGCGTCTCTCAAGACGTCGCAAGACAGGGACTGGATGGCTTCCTTGTTGTTTTCGTGTTCGACCCGTCCAGAAAGGGGTTCCTTCAAAGCAAACACCCTTTTTGCACAAAAAGGGTGTTTATCCCTCGCCTCTTCAGAGTAGACATCTTTGGCAATCATTACCTGCACAGGGCGAAACCACATGGCTCAACCGAGTGCCCCTGGCACCTCTCTCAATCTTACTCCAAATGGACATGGATCAAAAGCCAAATTGCACCCCCAGTGAACATCACAATCCAACCACTAAAATAGGTTCTAAAATAGGTGGTGAATTCACCTACCCCAAAGTGGTACCATTGGTTTTGACCCACAGCCAAATCACCAAACGCAATCCAAGCAGCGTGCAGGGCATGGCACCCCGTCAGTTTGGGGCCATCATCTCCCTCCACTGCGGATACCTCGCAGCAAGGCGGGAAGGCTCTACTTTTACGGCAACAGGACTCCTTTCACTCGAGCACGCACATACACACAACTTTGTTTAACTTGCTGGTGCTCAGCAGGGAATGAGAAATGGAATGACCCTTATAAACCATCCAACTGGTGGTTTCCTTTAAGGGGACCAATTCCTGGGTTCCTTCCCGCATTCCCTGCTGAGCACCAGCAAGTTAAAGATGGAACCCCGCCTCTGCCTGCGCCGCCACGTCTGCCCCTGCCTCGATGAGTGCAGTCAGCACTGCGGTGTCGCAATGCAGAGCTGCCGCGTGCAGCGGACAGCACAAGAAGCCTCACGTGGGATTGAGCAAAACTTTAGACTTCAGACCTTTCCTTCAGACTTCCTTTTCGGGCTCAGACCTTTCAACCTTCAGACATCCTTTTCTGGGTACCTCACATCATGCACCCCTCCCTTGGAACCCGCCGGCCTTCGTAGAAGCACTGGGCATTGGGGTCAGCGCCAGCGGCAATGAGCTGGGGCCTGGGATCCAAAGCAAAACGATCGCCACCTTCGAGGCGCTTCTGAGACTTACGTGCAGGGGAAGCCTCAGGGTCGCAAGACAGAGTTAGCACATGAAATGCCCCGGCGGCCAATTTTTCAATTTTTTGTGTCCGGATCTTTGGCTAAGCGCGAGACAACTTGACTGCTTGGCAGCCCCATGCGGCAGTTGGTCGGATGGTCAAACCAAAATGCTGGTGCTAAGACTTCGCCTCTTAGCCCCCACTCAGTGCCCTGCAACTGATCCTCCAGGCGCAGCAGTGATGCCACGAACCTGCATTCGCCGCTTCGCCGCATCGCGCCGCTTCGCGCGGAACGGAGTCCCGGCTCCGCGTCTGCACGCGCTCCGCGGAACATCTGAGGCGTGGGCAGCGGAGTAAGGAAGACACCTTCCCAGTCGATGCTCGCCTCGTTGATGCCGGTGCTCCTGGATTTGGCGAATCCTGCCTCCACCGTTCCGGGGTACAGGGCGCAATCCCAATCCCTTTCAAGTGTTCCTCACACAAAATGGATCCCATCGAGAATCAAGTCCCATTCCAGGTGCCATGCTGTTCCCTCAGCAAGAGGTCAACCGAACCTGAATTCGAAGGACTGGGGCGATTTGGTCACATAACCATGGGTCAAAAGCCAAATCGTACCCCCAGTGAACATCCGATTCAATCCAACCACTAAAATAGGTTCTAAAATGGGTGGGTGAATTCACCTACCAACCAAAATGGGATCCCAAAACGGTTTTGACCACCACAGCCACATCGCCCCAAAACGGGCCATGCGCCTGTCATCCTGCGCGAGCAGCTCCGTGAGCGGCTGGAAGTCACTGGCCAGAACCCGACCCGACACGTGGACACAAAAATCATGGCACCTACAATGCTCTTCACCCCCCATTGAAAGAAGGGATGACCCAATTTGGATGATGGCAATCTTTAGGTAAACCATGGTGGTTGTATAAACCTGACATGTTTTGCGTGCCTTGAGAAGGAAAATAGTACGAGAGTGGACATTGCGTGTAAAGCAAGTTGGTCATCGCGTACACATCCGGAAGCTATGTGTGCTAGGCAGCGATACCCCGAAACCGGCCCGCCGTGGCTCAAACTGACATGCGGCTGGTGGGGCTATAGCACCCCCAAGCGCTCCCTTGCGGCGGCCTGCTCAAGCACACGGACAGAAAGGCAGCCTTCCACTGGTCGGCAGCCATGGCTCTGGCAAGGGATTTGAAAGGTCAGTTGGATCAAGTTGGATCGTCCCAAGCTTTGCGAAAGGGCTCGACTATCGAACAAAACCTGCCATTGTTATCTCCAGGCTATCAGGCCATGAAGGCTAATGCTAAGCACTTCGACGGAGCATAAATCATGATGCCTGCATGAGCCAGGCCCAAGCAAACATGTCCACGACCTCAAACAGTTTTCTCTGATTTGGCTGGGTCGTTTGGTCAAGTTGCCAGCCGAGGGCTCTGTTCTGCATCAGACCATCGTATTTTGGGAGATCGGGCACAATTAATAAACATCAAAACACTTGAGACAATTACCCCACACACACAGATTGCGGAAGGAACATGAATGGCGAGATCAAACGCACGCGCTGGTAAATATCTTTTCCGAGAGCATTGTGAAGGGCTGTTCACAGAGCAACTTGCACAGAGCCATCTGCGCGGAGCCACTTGCTCAGAGTCACTTGTGCAGAGCAACTTGTGCAGAGCAACTTGCGCAGAGCAACTTTGCACAGAGCCATTTGCACAGAGTCAGTTGCGCAGTATCACAGAGCTATTTGTGCAAAGCAACTTGCACAGAGCCATCTGCGCAAAGGCGAATAGTCTGACCTGGGCATAGTCTGGGCACGACAATCTGGGCACGAGAAGGGTACAATCTGGGTGCGAATAGTTCGAGTAAAGAGTCTGGGTAAAGAGCTTTGGTGTGAAAGGCCGGACACCCCAGGTCGAGTTCGTGGGTAGAGAGTAGAGAGCATAGAGGCTCGGCGTCAGCGGCTAAGCTAAGGTTAGGTTTCTATACAGAAGATTCGCAACTCGAGTAAGATTCTTCTTCTATTTTGGCGAGGGTTGTCATCGCACGAAATTGCGACCCTCTGCGCGGATCGGCGCGGTCGATATCCTAACCTGGAAAATATGGCCTGGTTGCTGCATCCCCCACATCACCAGCTTCACCTGGGCCTACGTTCTGATTTGGTGGCAATTTGGGCCGTTGAGTTGCTTGGGGCTGGCCGAATTAGTGTGGGTTTTAGGCTGGCTTAGATCCTCATGAGGGCAGGTTTTGGGTGCTCTTTGGCGGCAAGCACAAACGCTATGGTTGCACTCCACACCGCTACATCCGGCATTGTAGATTCCCTTGAAACATTTGCTGCTATCACATTTTTTTGGAGTTGGGGGTGAAATGCTTTCAAAGTCAGTCTCATGCAAATGTCTCATTCCTCAATCCGCCAAGTGGGCAACGAGACCCAATCGCACTAGGTCGATCACAGCTACAGCGCCACGCGCCCGCTGGTCGCTGGGTCTCACGTTTGTGCTGCTCGCGCCATTCACGTTGAAGGCTGTGAGCTTGTAAGCAAATGCTTCATTGTAGGTCGAGTGCCAGATCATGGTAAACTTCAGCCACACATTAGCTGCACTGCAAGCACCCAGCGAAGTTATTCGCCCGCCGTCCTCCTAATTCCAAAAACTGGAGAACTGCGGACAGGCGCTGCAGTTCTAGCACATCGTCACCTTTTGTCGTGCGCTGCCCTATGACATGCAGCAATGATCCGGAAAAACCAAGCAACTATTGAAATTCATGGCCAAAGGTGGGTTTTGTCTGACGCCGATGTCTTGGCTGGGGAAGAAGCCCATTTGGCACAAGTGGGGGCCCTGACCAATCGCCTGAAGAACGCCCGAAAGATGCCATGCCGTCCAAGTTGCCCATCCTAAATTGTCCAAGCAACACGAATCCTCCACACCACCCGCAGGTCTCTTGAAAGCAGCCTTTTCAACGCCGCGGTGTTCTGGGCGCCCGCACCGCGCGCCGCAGCGCGGCGGGAGCCTCGCGCTCAGCGCTGCTCCCAATCCCACTGGACGCGTTTCAATTGGAAGTCTCGGAAGCGGTTGTGAAGGCTTCCTTCATTGCAAGAATGGTGGGGGCTGGGCATGCGCTTGTGCTTGCAATTGCAAGCTTCAAACTTCGAATCATGCCGACTTGCATCCTAGAAATAGTGGTTCACACTTGTCCCGTCCTATGACTCACCCCCTGTCTTTAGTCGAGCTGCGATTTCGCCCCCACTGGCATGCTCCAGAAGGAAGGACTCAGGCAGGTTGTCCACCTGGTCCGCCTTGTCCAGCTCGTCTGGCTGGCCCACCTTGAAACAAGGGCTGAAATCAAGGCTTTGCCGGTTTTACCCCAAGACAACACCATCCAAGTATGTCCTCCCTGAGGTTATGAAGGTGAATTTACCCCTGAAAAGCGCCTCCGACTGCACGTGCGATCTTCACCCAGGTCCTCCAGTGGAGAGGTTAGAATAAGGGTACCCTTTTCTTCTGTAGTCTATTTTGGTAGGGTCCCGAACCCTCCCCAAAAAGGTTGGTACAAGCAAGTTCTCCCAAACCGATGCCTTGCCCGGCTCTGGATGGCGCGCGACCAGTTCTGGCAGGTCAGCCTACATGCGCATTGGCCAGTCGAGTGGCCCGCTCAAACGGCCGTCATGAACCCCCGAAATCTGTCGGCACGTGTCAACGGTCCCAACCACTCTGAAAAAAAAAGCAGTCGTGATAGATGCCCTTTAAAACCAACAGGGGAAATAAAAAAAATAGAAACATATTCTTAAGCCAATGAAAAACAAGGGACCTACTTTTTGCAAGCTTACTGTCGCAGCTGCGCCTCCTGTACCACGATGATGGTCGGCTCTGCCGCACGATTGGATTGGGGTGACTCCTGTGCGATCCGCCGAAGTGATGCGAGACCTTGACAGAAGGTCAACTACCTTTTCGTGGCTGTGCAAGAGACAACGCACCGACAAAAGACCAGAATCATTCTGATGCTCAATTCATGGAATAAGGTAGAGCCGGCTGAAGCTTCAACAGCTTGAGAGGCCCAACAAAAGACTTGCTGGTGCGATAGTAGGGAATGAGCAATGGAGTGAACCTGGGGATTCCCTTCAAGGACTTCTCGGGGTCAGACTTCAATTCTCATTCTGGGGCCTAAAGGAAACCACAAGGGATGGTTTAAATCGGGGTCATTCCAACTCATTCCCTGCCGAGCTTCAACAGCTCGGATTCGGATCGATCCTCCAAGTCGCCCGCCATAGCTTGCAGCGAGACCTCGCCTCCGAGACTCTCGGAGAAGCTGATGTCCTCGTAGCGTGCCAAGGAAACACAACACGGTGGGCTTGTCTCAAAATAGGGGGAAATGCCCCCGCTCTCCCCTAAAATAAAGGAGTTAGGTTTCGTGTTGGTTTTCCCTTTATAACCCCGACCCCAAACATGGTTTCCCTTTAAACCAATCCAAACAAAAATATACGGTCGCCTCCAAAAAACATCGCGTCAGACCAACCGCCCCATGGACTCGCCCGAAGGTTTCGCAGCTGGATGCAGCGCCGAGGCGCCGCCAGCTTGGTGAAGGGCCGCCTGCGCCGCACACGCGGATGGAACATGGATTCCCGAAGGCTCACGAGGGCTGTGGGAAATGGAATCCGCTTCGATGCAAGAAAAAAAGGGCTTCCCAAAGACCTGACCTGCCCCATATAATGTTGACCCAATAGGGGGGTGCTCCCTCCAAAAGTGGTCTGAATCCCCACTAAAAGGGGACAACCCCCAAGAAAATCCACCAGGGGTTCTGCTTAATCCGGGGTTAAAGGGGGAGATTCCCTGGTACAGTGGGGATAAACCCAGCTTGTGATCCCACCACCCGGCTCATGACCCCCAAGAACCCGCACCTCGAAGGAAGAACCCGGAGCCCTTGAAGACAACCCACGAAAACAACCCCATTCTCAAACCCCCAAAACCCAGCAAGAGCCCGTCCTTCGGGTAGCAAGCTGAGAAAATACCATTCATTGAAGTTTGAATTGCAAACCATCCATGCAGGAATCCATTCATTGCGCGACAATGGTTTGAACACCCCACAAAATAGTGGAAAACCGGGCACCGGGTCTGGACTGCAGAAGCCCCCCCCCATATGTTGGGTTCTGCATAAGTCCACATTCGCATCCAGTCCCTGGAGTCCCCGACTCCAAAGGCCACAGTTTACTCGCGGGTTGCCTGGTCACTTCCGCTGAAACGGCCCAAAAACCCGAGGAAACTGAAGGAACCGCCACATACAGTAGGTGGCCTTTTGGAAAAATCGATGGCCCTGGCAAATGAAATAAACCCTATCTAACCAGGGCCCTCGATTCTTTAAGCAAACCAACCAAAAAGGACACCTATGAACCTCTACCTGCGGTCCAACAAATTGGGGAAAACCCGCCACGAAATGGGCCCAGCCCATCGCCACCCATCCCCGTCCCCCGAGGTCCCTGTCGATCCCCGGCGCCTGGCGAGAGCTGCCTGCTGCGTTTTGCAGTTTTGGCGCTCCAGGGCGTGACACGCCCTCTGGAGCTCTGCCAACTCGTCCTGCGGATCGGCCGCGTACGGATCGTCCTATGGGTGGCTCGTCTTTTTTGTTAAGACACCCCTTGTTGGGGTTAGTTTAAAGGGAGTCCTTTTTTTGTTGAGATACCCGTTTTTGGGGTTGGTTTAAAGAGAGAACAGCCATTTCTTTGGGTGGGGGGATCCAAAAAAATGACACACCCATATCGCAAGGGACATTTGCGGACACCGATTCTCTGATTGGATTCTTTGCTGTGGTTTTTTGATGAGTATGGTCGGTCTAATCGAACCAATGGTTTGGGGATCGAACTGCAAATGGACGACTGAACCCTCCATGACGAGCAAAAGAGAGGAATGAAGAAGGAAGAAGAGATAGCCCATTTCCTCCCAGCCTTTTCACTGAGGGCTGGTCTAGAGGAGGAAATGAGAGTGAACAGAGGACAGGCACTTCCTTCTCCCTTTCTCACCTCTTAATCACATCCTATAGATACAGAGGTGAAAGGGAGAAGAAGGAGAAGTGTCTTGAGATCCAGTCCTTGGCAAAGCTTGAAAATTGGAGATCACCCCATAAATTTGGGGGAGGGGGGCTGCGGATGGCCAAAATCCACGCCCATCAACACCATAGCACTGGTGATTCATCCCAGTATGTATCGGGCTTATCCGTCCCAACTCGTGTAGGATGGGGAACATTAGGGCCCTTGCTCCCTAAGGTTCTCAGAATCCTAAGCAGCCCCTCTAAGAAGGTTCTTAAGAACCTTTGGGGTGAATGGGGGGTCTTTAGGAGGAACTTATCGTTCGACCGTTTGGGGTTCATTGAACCCCCCGGACAAAGTCAAGGCTTAATTATGTGGGTTTGCTTCTTCCCTGGTACGGGGATATTCTGTGGATCTCAGTGGCTATCATTTCGGTCATTTGCAAAACGTGGGTGGGAATACCCGAGTGGAGTCTGCAGTCAATTCTGGTTTCCCCGAAGTGGACATGCGGGGTATGCTTTGTTTTGGGCTTATGGGTGAACGAAGTGCGGGGCCGGCGAGCAGAAAGAAGCTCACCGCCCAAGGACTCGATGTGTGAAATCCTTTTGAAATCAGCATGAACTCTGGTTGTGTAGGTGGAGGCATCTACTTTTTTTGCACCCTCCCCTCCTCTTGCGCCTCGTTTTCCGAGCCAGAGTTGGCCAGCAGCTCCTCAAAACTCAAAACAGTGAAACACAAGCGCTGCAGGCATTTTCAGGTGTACCTCGTCGAGGTGAGGCTATGGACCCACTCCCCTCAGACTCAGCTATGGACCCCTCCACTTGGTTTGGATTGGTTTGGGATTTGAAGGGGTCCCCGGCTTAGGGTAAATCGCTTTTTCCCCCTCCTTAACCACCGGGCTCCAAGCCACCGGGCTCGGGAAGCTGACCGAGGTCCAGAGAAATTAGAATAAGTTGGTACCAACTTTTTTTCTCGGTTTTGTCTATTTTAGTAGGGTCCCGAACCCTCCCAACCAAAGGGGTGAGAAAGGGCCCTGGGGGACCTAGTGACATACCCGTCGATCAACCCGCACCTCGCGCTTCTCGGACGCCCGCCTCGAGGTTCTCCACCCCGTCCACGAAGTCTCGCAGCTCCGAGGAGAGCCTTGGCGGGAAGGTGCTTCTCTCAGGCTGAACATTTTGCTGCTCAGGGAATGCGGGAAGGGATGAAGGGATGAACACCAGCAAGTATTGGTCTCCAACAAAGCCGAACCTCAAAAACCGTCACCTATTTGAGACCGGACAAAGCTATACTCGTTTTGTAGAACGACATGAGCGATATGGAGATGGTTCCCCAGGCTGTTGTGGGAGATTTGCTTCCCCCAATGTCCTACCCATACAGGAGACTGACAGTCATATTTGGCAGTTGCTTATATCAATCCTCGTCGCGGTTGGGGAACCGGTCAACCTCCAAGCCATGCGGTTTTTTTTTTCCTGTTTTTTACTTGCCCTTGAAACCCAACACCGCTTTCAGATCACCTCAGGCTGGCGCTCTGCGACCTCCTGTTGGGCTTTGTCACAAAGGCCCCGCAGAGCGGCGCCCTCTCGCAGCCTGAACTCGAAAAGCATTCGAAGCCCCGGCGAGTCTACCCCCCTCCCCCCAAAACGGGGGGGGGAGGGGGGGGGGCCGAAACTCGAGGGGACCCCCGAAAACCGAAAATGGGGTGGGCGTCCTCACTGGTTTCGCATGAAAGCCGCCAAAACCAACGCACCCCAAGATTTGCCTGAAAGGATCATCAGAAACAGACCAACACCCAAGCGTTTTGGAGATGGATCAGCCTCATACCAAATGCTCCCTGCCGATTCACTGACAACACTGGATGGGACAAAGGTACGCGCCTGGCTAAAAGTTACAAGTCATCGCAGGAAGCTTTGAGGAACTACAAACAAATGAGCCGTGCCAAATACTCTTGTGTAAAAAGCGGTCCTATAAACTTGCTTTCGCGGACCCTTTCGCGATGCTTTCGCGACCCCATGTTTTGCTTTCGCGGGCTTTGGTTTCTTTAGAATTGCTTTCGCGACGCTTTCGCGGCGGAGCGTCACACAGCATGCAGGCGTTCGCGGGTCTTTCGCGGCGGGACTTTCTTTGGTTACTTTCGCGATAAGCTTTCGCAAGCTTTCGCGGCCTGCGTTTTGGCTTTCACGGGGATTCTATAGGACACCCCCCTTTACTACTTTGTATTGTCAGGGTTTCTGGCGCTGCTCAAATGGGGTTGTCAGAAAACCCCATACTTTTCAATTGACCCTCTGCCAGATTCGAGACACGCCGCAGGCCGGTCGCCTCCACCTCCCCGACGCCACCTCCCCGCGCCTGGCCGCCAGCTCCTGCGCCGCCAGCTCCGCCGCGGAGTCCTCCGACTGCTGCGCCAGCTGCGCGGCGGAGGCCCGGAGCTCGCTGGCCTGCGGTTTTTCGGAAGCACCAGGAAGACCACAAGAAGGTACCCTCCCACTGTCAGGTTCCATGTTACTTGGTGGGGCCACCCGAGTCCGGTTTGCTTCTTGCCCTATATACCTCATTCGTTGAGGCCTTTTAAGGTCAAAGGCCCTCACTACTCAGGGTCGGGTTTCCAGCTTGATGTGGAGATGGTCTAAATCACATGCGGATCCTCTCGTGAGGGCAAGGAAGGTGGACACACATTTCTTTCTTGTCCGCTCGTTGGGCTGATAGGCTGACGTCCTTCAAACAGGACAACCCGGAATAAAGAGGTATAGTAGTTTCTGGTAGTGGTGGAAAGAAGAAGTCCGTCAATGACTCCAAACTAAAGCATGCTTAAACCACAAAGGTCCAAGCATCAACTCACTTGTATAAGTCTCTCTCTCTCTAAAAGGGAGAAGGGTCAGGGTTGGGGCCAACCCCAAGAAACACGACCTAATAAACAAAACCTGCACATTCGGCGGCTCTAGCCTCGCTTCCGAAAAGACCAATTGGCCAAAATATGCTCCCTGCGATTGAGAGAGCCAAGACTTCAAGGGAACTCTACCAGTGAAAGGCCGTGACTGACTCGCCCACCAGACCCGGCACGAAAAACCCTGCGCTTGGGGATATGGCAGGCAAGGCTTTGAGTAGCGGCCTTCCCAAGCGACTTGTGAAGTAGGGTGTTTAATCCCTAGGCAGTATGTTCCACTTCAAACAGTGAAACCCATTGCATCACTGCATCATTAAATAAGCCTTGCGCAGGAGCACCATTCCCTTCAAGCCTCCTCAGCATACTCCGAAGCAATCTTTGTGCTTTCTCTCTCCTGCCAAGTCGCAGAAGCCAAAGCAAAACCCTGCATGCGCCTTGAACTTTCTGAACTTGTCTTGCAAAGCCCTGTCCTTCGCAGCTTCCATGGCCTGCACGCGAGCTTCCTCCTGCTGCTTCACAGAAGAGATCTCCTTTGCATGGCTCTGCTGTAGCGCAAGCTTGTCCCCGGCACACCTGGTCGGAGGCGGTCCTCTGGACATGTACAAATTCTACAAGCTACAAGCTGATTCCACTCGCCAACCAACCAACCAACCAACCAACCAGCCAGCCAGCCAGCCAGCCAGCCAGCCAGCCAAACCAAACCAAACCAAACCAAAGCAAACCAAACCAACCAACCAAGCCACTGACCGACCAACCAAACCTGTGTCAAAACTTGGAACAATTTCTCAAACTGTCATTCTTGACTACGGCAGTTCCATGTTTACGTGCGTCCTTTGCTACAGAGCCACTTGCGTCAGCGGAAGCCATGACATTTAGAAACAAGCACGTACTCAAGCACAGCTACGCTCAACCAAACAGTCCCCCCGGAGTCTCAGAAATCAAGGCACGTCGCCTGTGGATTTGGCATTCTCCTTTCCTTGGTCGCTAAAACGGCCCCTCCGCAACAACTGACTCACTTTGTGTGGCTCCAATGGAAGCTCCCCCTGTTTCAATCAAACATAGTGACTCGCTTTGTGTGGCTCCAATGGAGAGTCAAAATAAATCCCCCCCTTTTTTTTTCAGTCAAAATCCCCGGTTCAAGTCCAAAGCTCCCCAGCAGCAAATCGCCGGCCCAAGTCTCCCGGCCTGGCTTCCAGCAGCTCCAAGTGCTCCCATCGCCCCGCACGCCGTCCAGGGCCCGGGCCCAGGCGTGCAGCGAGCGCCTGCCAGGGCTTCACGCACCACAGGGACGGTGCGAGTGGCGGCTACACGCAGAAAGCGCCACCTGGCTGCTCAAAAACACGTCACCAAAATGAGACCTTGAAACCTGCGTAACCCTGGCTGGTTAATTTTGAGCCACACCCACCTGGGGTTTGTGGAAGATGAAAGTAGGACGTGCTAAATGACAAGCGTGCTAAGTCTACGTCTATCTGGCCGCCCTTCGCGCAACGCGGCGAAGACTGAAGGGGGTCTGCCGCAGCATGACGGCGCTCAAAGCCTTCGCGCGGTGGCTGCCAGCCATCACTCCGGCGCGCTGGGGTGGCGTGTGACGTGCGATAGCTGCAGCGCGGAAGAACGTCTTACTGGGCCCCAAGCCGACTCAGCATTGCGCTGGCGCAATCTAGAAACTTTCGAGCGTCAGGAACAACATCAACTGTACTTGGGACAGTAGGATTCACTTGGTTCTTGTGGAATCCCGCCTCGTGCCGAATGCAAACACCAAAGTGTTGACTTTTGACAGCACTGCTCTTCAACAAGAACCCTCAAGTACTTTCCCGGCCACTTCACGACCCACATCCACGCCAAGCGGCGCCAAACTGTGGCGGAATGGTCTGAGATTGGTCAACAAGCTGCACAACCTCCCCACCTTTATGGGAGGAATGCGGCGAGTCCCGCAATTCCACTTTTCTAATCTTTCCTGCAGGAAAAATGGAACTAGCAAGGACCCATGCTCGAGGGGACATGCGGCCGGAATCCGTTGAGCTGATGACACTTGCGAGCGAGCTTATAGGGCAATGCAGTTCGACTTGGCTTAGGGTTGTCGTTTAGGGAAACCCTGTTTGGTTGGCAAGAGGAAAATTACCGGCTTGGAATTTCAGTGGGGTCGTGTGTGTGTGTGTGTGTGTGTGTGTGTGTGTGTGTGTGTGTGTGTGTGTGTGTGTGTGTGTGTGTGTGTGTGTGTGTGTGTGTCCGGCATTTTTCGGGGTGGTCCACCACTTTGGGGGTCCGCTCTGGC